AATGTTCGCTCGTATGTGAGGCCTTGTCGAATAGTATCCTGTAGGTGGGCCATCGTGCGTGTTTCGATGTAAACTCGCGGAGATGAACAGGCCTGCTTCAGCTATGAATGGTGGATTAGGATTTTAAACTTTAATGTAATTCAAGTTAAATTTCAAGAACCACTGAAAGGAAGCATTTGACATACGAGTATGTAGTTACGAGTACGACGTATCGTGTGATCACGGGTAACATGACTGTTTGAGATTTAATTGGATTTAATAAAAACAATGTTGACCGGCAAAAATACTCCATGNCTATACTGTATCTTATTATAGTGGCGATGAGTTCATCTTGTCCTGTATTCAAGGACCTTACATTCAACAGCCCCAGTCTCAAACGTTTTCCCTAATAATGGTTATCCATCGAGAAAAGAAAAATTGTTAATAGTCACAATAAAAACAATTCCGTATTAGTAGTGTTGTGTGTTGAGTGATTGTAAAAGTGTGTGTAAGAGAACGTGGCAAGAATTGTGTCTGCAAAAGTGCGTGGTTATAGTAATAATGTGTTGAGCAACATTCGAAAAGGTGTGTATTGGCGTAGAATAGAAAAAAGAAGGAAACATATTATAACAGTGGACAACGTACACAAAATAAACAATACATGAGATCAAAGATATCAGCGATTAAACACATTTTTAGCAATAGATCAAACTTCCGATAAACCAAAAACCCTACTCAGGTCAGCATCAGATCGAAGTCTATGGCGCGGTTTACCCTCCGCTTGGCGAGTGAAAATGCTTCCCTCCCGGGTCCAGACGTATTTAAAGTTGTGATTGCGCGCAAGTTCGCGCGCCTTTTGAAACAGTTGGCGGTGGTGTTTGGTGAGCCTCTCGTTGATATAGAAGGGGCGCGGCGGGCCCGCCAGCGACAGGCCCTCGGTGGTGACAGCGCGACGCACGCGCGCCGCCCGGAGTAAGGCGTCCCGCGTAGCACGGCGAGTGAGTCGCACCGCCAGAGGCCGTGGGCGGGCGGGCGCGCCGTCTCGCGGCGCGAGCCGCGGGGGCCCCGCCCTCTCCACTGCGACTAGATCTTTCTCGTCGAGCTCCACTCCAATTTTCCTTGCGAGGGCGATGACGATGTGAGTACTGTTCTCGCCAGCTTGTTCGGGACAGCCAGAAATTTCCACGTCGTTTGATAGAAGCGCCTGGTCCCGGTCACCAATTTCCGTTTGAAGATCCTCAATCCTTTTTTCTAGGGATGTAATTGCTGAGATATCGTTCCTTCCGCTTTCTAGCTCGTGTACTCTACTCTCAAGTTGTTCTATCCGGTTATTCTGCTTTTTGATTGTGTCAGTAAGCTCAGATATTGTCGAGCGCAGACTTTCTGTCTGGCTATGTATAAGTTTGCTGAAGTACTCTTTCAGATCGGCCACTGTATCATTTTGAAGAGTGTTAACGTGATGAGTCTGTGTTTCTGGACTCGATGTACCCAGGTCGCAAAGTGAGGTCAGGTTGACAGATCGCGGAGACCTGTGGCGAAGGGTGACATTGTCTTCGTCGGTGGGTGACAGGACGAGTTCATTCATGTCGTCTGAAGTGGCAGTAGATCGAGCTGGAGTATTTAAATTACCTGTCTTTGGTTTTTTGCTTATGCACTCAGGGCAGGTCCACTTATCTTTTTTTTTCATGATACTGAAAAATTTATAAGTGACGTTGGCGCATTCAAGGTCATAACTGGATTTACAAGCCATGCATTGTAGGTACTCTCTCCTATGCAGTACTTTCTGGCAGCCAGCGCATAATTTATTGGGTATCGTACTCATTTTCGACACTAAATCGTCCCTCCAAAAAAGTAAACAAATGCAGAAGCGCAAGATGCCCTCTGTTGAGATTTCGTGGAATCAATATCGTCACGCTCACGAACTATCAAGGACTATGCAGTGCTTAATTAAGCAGATCTCGGCTCCCGTACTTAGTTCAAAAAACACCCGGTAGGAAGCGCCACTTCAACTGAGTCATTGTAAGTCATTGCAGAAAAACAAATGAGGTTATACATTTTTCCATTTCCAAGAGAATCTTTGCACATAGCAAATTAATAGTCCCAACAGTTTTTTAGAAGTCACTTTTCAATTTGTTACGGTTATTTCACGATTCAGTTTGAGAAAAACAACACAAATGACAGTTCATGTCCGGCGCTATTTTATCAAAATTTCACTGTAAGTTTGATGAATTGTTTCGTGCCTACACTTGTGAGATGAATTTGAAGCACTATGTTCCCGGATATATCACTATTGACACTAATAATTACTTTAAACTATGTAAATAAAATATTTTCACTCAGATCATTGTTTACTTGCGCGCAGCAGCGCCCTCCTCACTGATATATGTTCACTGTGTAAGCTAGTGCAAGCACTGACGTCCGTCCCGTGTGGCGGCCCGACTACGACTGAGCCCCCACCGCGCCGTACTAGTCAGTGTTGCCATAGCGCACACTCTTTATTTGTGTAGTAGTACACCACATCTCTTCCTTATTTTATTTGATTCGAGACAAGCTATATTATAATTAATGCTACTACTAAATTAAAGTATANAAAAATTAAAAATATTGCGTATAAAAAAGTTCATCCCCAATTTTCCACCCTTGGGGGTGAAATATTTTCTTCAAATTCGCATGAAACCACCCTTTTGATAATACCTATTCAACAAAAAAATAATCGTTCAAATTGATTTATAATCGGCGGAGATATTGCGTATAAAAAAGTTCATCCCCAATTTTCCACCCTTGGGGGTAGTTTTTTCAATTATTAAATTTAAATGGGACCACCCTTGAGGTATTACCTATACGCCGAAAAAAGATTTGTTCAAATCGGTTCATAATTGGCGGAGTTATCGCGTAACAAACATAGAAAAAAAAAACATACGGGTCGAATTGAGAACCTCCTCCTTTTTTGAAGTCGGTTGAAAATACACACGAATTATTTTAAAGCAATCAAATCAGTCTTCAGATAGGCACTATCTCTGTAGGTAGTTATTTAATTGGGTATAATAAAGTACCTACATCTGTCTGAAAAACAATTAAGAATTCACAAGTACTTTATTACCTAAATAAAAGGCTCGGGTATATTATATTATGAGTATAATAATTAACGTACCGTTTTAATTATAAACTTTTTTCTTAGAAACGTAAAAACCTTTTTGAAAGTTTTTAATTAATAATCAATATGGCGGTTCTGACATTTAACTTTTCAAAATCAAAATTGTGTTTTTCATGTGCAAAAAATTAAATTAAGTCGTATCAATGTCTCAAAAAATAATGTTTTTACTGATAAATAGCTAGCCGACGCGACTTCGCTCACATCAACATTCGTAAGTTTCTTTTAACTTCAATGTAACATGTTTTAATCTTCTTTCCTATTTTCTTCAGTCAGGTTTAAAACATCTATCTTCTTTAACTATAATAGCGAAAGGTCACTGACTGACTCACTCATCACGAAATCTCAGAAACTACAAGTGCTAGGAGTCAAATTTTCCATGGGGGTTCCTCTTAGAACGTAAGTGCTCACTTAGACGGGACTTTGCAAAATTCAACCCCTAAGGGATCTACGGGATTCACGCGTACGAAGTCGCGGGCGGCCGCTACTTCTACTATAAGAATTACTTTTTTCTGAAGTAAACTAAGAATCTTCGTGGCATGCAACCAACACCAGCCACACCTAAAATTTCATTTTTTCCTGGTATAGTTTTACTTCAAAGTAATGTTGCCTAAACTTATAGCTCTCTCACGATTAGGAACGCTGGAAGATGCCCCACAAAAAATCTGTGTTGTCCGACTGGTATAGAACTCGAAACAAAATATGTATTTGACTATGAGATCATACTTATTATAAAGCAAATATTTGAACTAAGTTTTTTGTATGGGTGCTCTGCTAGACTCACTGCAAAGATGTAGACTGTAGAGCTATAACTAAACCAACCTCTTGTGCTGGATAGAGGATAATCATTGTTGTAAATAACTCTGTTAAAGACTCTAGCAGCACGAATTAGCTGCTTATTTTATTTTATATGAGAAACCGCAACAAATTATGTTTGAATATTTTGTAGGAAAATTTATAAGTAAGTCCAAGTTACTTTATTGTAGGTATTCGGGGAAGCCTGATGTCGGGGAAGATGGGAATACCCCTATAGTTACAAGATCGTTCAACGTAGTTATTCGGTTTTGGAATGTGTCGCCAAATTACCTAACTTGCGTTCGGCTCAAAAAGCGATTAACGATGTTACGTATTATTTACTTATCATAGCATTTGTGGTGTGTTACCACAATATAGTCATCCTTCTTTATCGCCATGTCACGTAAGTAATTAGGGGTATTCCCTATTAATTGCCTAGGAGTTTAAACTACTTAGTTTATTATTTTTCCTCTTACGAACCAAATTCCGTTAAAAGTATTAAGGCTTGTGGCAACGAATTACGCCACGGACAGGCGGGGCTTGGGATAAAAACCCAAAACAGGTTATAAAAGTGTTAGGTAACTGCATAAATTCCCGCGTGTATTTTCGGCCTGACACAAAAAGACATCAACGAGCGCATGGAAAAAAAAAGATTTATTTTTCCTGGGTCCCAAACTCGAATCAAATCGGTTTAGTGATTGGAGCGGGAAAGGATCAGACAGGTTCTCTGTCTGTAATTCTAAGGACCTCGTTAACCAACTCTGAGTAAAGTGGCAAGCAGGCTACCCGTTGCTTAAAGTCACGAGTAGCAACGAAACCAATAACACTGACAAGACAAGACTTTGACGCTAAAATACTTCTTACTTTTACTTGCCAAAAAGTGTTAATCAGGAATTACCTAACTACTCAGAACTTTACTCGGAGATCATAAAAGAGGCCCTATCTCTAGTAAATCTGAATTACTTACACGCTTCTAATTTATACTCTATGGAGTAGGTAAGTATGGATAAATAAGGTAAGTATAGATAATAATGGAAGTATAATATGGACTTTAAAATGATGTTTTTTCCCGCAGGATTTGCAAGTCGCGTCTTTATTTGGTGGGCAGCGTGTTATCGGCGCTGATCGTAGGCGCGCTGGTGGCTGTGCTGGTGCTGCAGCCGTGGGCCAGCGACGACCACCCGCGCTACCCGCGCGCCACCGTCGCCGCCAATGGATACGAGTGCGCTTCTATTGGACGGTCAGTGCAGTATTATACTTTAGTTAATCCACTAAGCGCGCTGGTGGCTTGCTGGAGCTACAGCTGTGGGCCAGCGACAACCACCCGCGCTACCCGCGCGCCACCGTCGCCGCCAATGGATACGAGTGCGCTTCTATTGGACGGTCAGTGGAATTCTTTACTTCTTCCTTTTTAAACAGAACAAGGCAGGTATTTGACCGCAATCGCATCACCTATTCACTCTCGCCTTGCAAAGGCCCGGATTATAGTGTTTGGGAAAGACAACAGCAAATACCTGCAGTCGCTAGCTGTTCACATTATAAAAGAGTTATCGAAAAGATTAGTGTGAGCTGGTGGAATGTCGACAATGTACGGAATGGTACGCTAACCTGCGTCTGGTTCCGCGGTGATGGAAAAGGGTACAATTAGATCATGTAGGTAATTCCGTCGCACATTGTCCGAAGTTTATTTTACTCACTACGGAGCTTTTTGGTCTGTATCTCCTCACCTGACGGAGAATGATGCTCAGGCCAAAGGAAGCTTGCTTCACCGTTCACCCGGAATCCTCGAGTACAGAGGAACTGGCTATCGTAGGTCCAACTGCCGAAAAAACAGTGTTGTTAAACATAATTTGAGGCGTGCCATGGTAACAACACTTTTTTACCTGGGAAAATATTCTGGCATTAAACATACGCCGCGGCGTCGCGCCGGCTAAATCCTTTGTTGGGCATGCGTGTCTTATTAACCTTACAAAACCTGTCTTTACGAATCTCAGCATTTTAAAGCCGGACAAAATACTCAAAACAATCAAAACAAGAACACAATAACCACTGTTAAATCAGTTAACAAATTAGCAGCGGTCTATGTTCTAAGAATGCTGGGATTTGTTGCGGTGGGATTTCTTTCTTTCTTAATCTGCCAAATCGGCATCTTAAGGCCAGTTATGCCAAATTCTTAAATATCCTGACTGTGTTATGTGTATTCGAAATGAGAAGGTTTTGTTTGAGTCTGCGGACGATAAGTAAAACTCGCAAAAGAGCAATAGCCTTTTAGGACTAAAAGGACAGCTAAAAATCCTGTTGCTTTAGAACTTGGAACTTAAAACCCAAATTACCGCATTAATCAGAAATTGTTTTGAAAAGCGATAACGTTTAAGTAGGTACCCTTGAATACGATCATTATCTTAATGCTCAAAAAATATTGTCCAAAATAATTCATGATATCTTCTGGGTCACCTCAACAACACTCCGCTACCTAACTGCATCATTTGCATATCATCAATATTTTGATTTATGTTATCTGTGTTGTTACTTGTTATCTAATATGTTGCTGCTGCATAATTTGGTAAGGTAGGTACCTACTTTCTGCCGATTGCGAAATGAAACTCATTTTAGATTAAAAATGTTTATTATTTTGACCATTATCAACGTAGACATAATGATGTGCAACGTTGATTAGGTGCTACTTATCAACTGACTGTCCTCACGTGTGGACCGTGTGGTATAACATAAGTACTTAAGTACTAGGTTGTCGTTGCAATTTATTTAGTTTTGCACAAAAATCTTTTTTGTCCATTAGTCCTTTGACCCCTTCTTACAAACTATCGAATCGCACACATGGGAATAAATTACCTCGTACAAAAGTAAGTGTCCTGTATAAGTACTTCGTCTGCGCAGGCGTATTTATGACCTCTTATTCGTAAGAAAGTCAGCAGACGATGTCACGTCAGCCTTTGCTACCTGCATCAAAGACAAAGTAGCCCGAGACCTCTATATTCGCAATTTCATTTCTTCTTATTTTTATTGATTGATTTTTGTCACAGGACGTCCTCTCCTGAACATAGGTCTTCCCCAATGATTTCCAGATTGACCGTTTGGTAGCGGCCTGCAACCAGCTCCTTCCTGGTACCAAGATTGATTTTATTTCTTTTAACTTTTCAGCCAAATCCTGGAAAAGGATGGTTCCGCGGTAGACGCGGCGATAGCGACATTGTTCTGCGAGGGCGTCGCGTGCGCACAATGTATGGGGCTCGGCGGCGGGTTCCTGGCGACGGTGTACGACGCGCCGACGGGCCGGGTGCGCGTCGTGAACGCTCGCGAGCGCGCGCCGGCGGCCACCCACGAGGATCAGTTCGCGAACGCATCGTCTACCGTAGGTAAGGATGAAACGATACCACTGAGGTATCGATGCAGTATCGGTCGTCAAATGGCGATACTTAGTATTCGTATCGAATCGTTTTTGGTATTTTTATTGACATGAACATAACTGAAGTCTGTTTTTGTAGTGCCTTCCAAAAATATATACTTCTTTTTTTCAAATGTTTGCCTGTTAGGCGATTTCTGACAGCAGCGACTGTTGCTATGGCTTCCGCAGGTCTATCAATTGCTCAAAAAATTAAAACTCTTTAAACACACCGACTAATAACAAATAAACATAGGCGGCACGCGGAACTAATTTACTTTACGTCCATGCACTGATATGACTTGTTGACCGATACCTACCCTATACTTGACTTCAAAGTGTCGATACTAAGATATCGGAGATTATCGAGTATGTACCTACTTGTTTTAGTAACATTTCGTACCCGTAGGCGGGTAAAGTAGGTAGGACTAAAAATACTTGGTATCGGAGAAAAGTATCGAAATGTACTTGTCATCCTCATCATCAGGTCATTTAGTCTCCACTGCAGGAGCACTGCCCTTTCTAATACCAGTGGAAAATGGAGGATTTGGCGTACACTCCCCATGCTGGCCAGACGGGTAGAGGAGGCCGTGGGATTTTGAGGATACCACTATAAGGAAGCTAAGGTGTATTGCTTCCTTCCATGCGAGTGCTGTGTTCGGGAACCAAACTCTAGATGTGTTTATATTTACTGTTAATAATTCCCATAGGCGGGTTAGCCATCGCCGTGCCGGGCGAGCTCCGGGGCTACGGGGAGCTATACCGGGCGTTCCGTAGGCGAACTTTGTAATACACCCTTTCGCAAGGTATCGATATTAAAAGTACTTGATATCGAAGAAAAGTATCGAGATGTGCTTGTCATTCCTCATCATCAGGTCATTTAGTGTGCACTACAGAAGCACGACCGGAACCCTCTCTAACACTAGAGGCAAATGGAGGATTTTGCCTACACTCCCCACGCTGGCCGGACGGGTTGGAAAGGCCTGACCACGGAATAAATCCGTGAGATTTTGAGGATACCACAATAAGAAAGCTAAGGTGTAATGCTTCCTTCCATGCGAGTGCTGTGTTCGGGGACCAAGGTCCAGATGTGCTTGTTTTTACTCTTAATCATTTCCATAGGCGGGTTAGCCATCGCCGTGCCAATCGAGCTTCGGGGCTACGGGGAGCTATACCTGGCGTTCCGTAGGCGAACTTTGTAATACACCCTTTCGCAAGGTATCGATATTAAAAGTACTTAATATCGAAGAAAAGTATCGAGATGTGCTTGTCATTCCTCATCATCAGGTCATTTAGTGTGCACTACAGAAGCACGACCGGAACCCTCTCTAACACTAGAGGCAAATGGAGGATTTTGCCTACACTCCCTACGCCGCGCTGGCCAGACGGGTTGGGGAGGCCTGGCCACTGACACCTGAGCAGAAAGTGCTGTGTTCGGGGACCAAGGTCCAGATGTGCTTGTATTTACCCTTAATCATTCCTATAGGCGGGTTAGCCATCGCCGTACCGGGCGAACTCCGGGGTTACGGGGAGCTGTATCGGGCGTACGGACGCCTGCCGTGGGCGGAGCTGGTGCGGCCTACCGCCGACCTGTGCCGGCGCGGCCACCGCGTCAACTCCTACATGGGCCGCGTGCTGCACTCCTACAGCGACAGAATCAAGGCCGAACCGTCCATGAGGTTTGTTTGTTTTGATACTCTACACAGATGAAACGATAAGGTTATCTCACTTGATTATTTTTAAACTAAAAGATATCGAAAATCTGGTTACTACCTAATCTTGAAAGTGCTTCACGAGCTCTATCAAACGGTATCAATAATACACGTAGGTTACAGAATCATCATCATCATCATCATTTCAGCCAAAGGACGTCCACTGCTGAACATAGGCCTCCCCTAATGCTTTCCACGTTGATCGATCGGTAGCGGCCTGCGTCCAGCGCCTCCCTTTACAGAATAAATGCAGGAGCTATCCGAAAACGCAATGTTTCCAGCTTCAGCTTAAGATCGCTTATCGTTTCCACCCTGCATACATACCTATCTAGGTATGTATGCAGGATGATCTTTTTGTTGGAAAGAGAATCAACGACTGCAACTATACCTATTATTGCTTGTTACGAATCTTTTTTACACGGAGGAATTGCTACCAACTACCGTAGGCACTACAGAGGTTAATGTGGAACTCTTTGGCTAATATGAATCAGTTGCTCCAGTTTACTCACTAAAACCTCCACGTTTTCCCTCAGGCTGCTATTGGCGGGATGACAGAGGATCGCACTGTCGCAAACACTTCATCCATTCAGAATGTCTACGCGAGAGTTCTAACTAAAATCAGAATTACTTACATGACAATAGTTCATGAGAGGAAAGAGTTTGAGAGATAAATTCTCCAATCTCATACCATGTATTTCTGAGATCGCAGGATAAACAGCCAAAACAATAATTAATTGTTGTTATCATANACGGTGCCCAGCTATGGTTGTTATCAACGTTATTTCTTAATTCTGTACATTTCCTATGGTCTACTTACTCGGTGAGGATCATGATCATAAGTGATGACACATAGGTACCTACTCGAATCTCACATTGCAAGCTCTTAACGAAGCTGACAAGCCGTAAGTAATTGTAAGTTTGTGAAGAAGCCGTAGTTCTTTTTCGCACATTAACAAACTACCGATGTGCATTGTGCACATTAGCCCTATAAAATTATATCTGAACCTAATCTGGCTTTACTGCATAGGTATTTACATAGCCATTGCAATTTAATCGTGCTGATTTACCGTATCTAATGTCTGCAACGGCACCATTTGCATTCCCAAGGCCAAACACAATCTAGGTACAATAAAATTCTCCACTTGGTTTGGTAGTACTTCGCGGTGACGTCGACTGCTCTACTATACCTTATTTTGAATAGTCATACTTAGTTCCTACCTTATTATCTGTAGGTAGGTACGTAAAATAAATTAAAATTTTAATAAAAAAAGATAAAATGTTTTGTCAGTTGGTTGTTAATCTTAATAGCACTGATAATATTAAGCCTTTAAATTGCTTTGTAATTGCTGCAATAAGTACCTATACAGTGTGTCCGGGCATGTAGTGATCAAACTTTATGGGCGTAATCTATGGACATTTTTATCGATGAAAATACTTCAAATTTGGGGCCTGACCCATTTCTCGAAAAATTACATCGATTTAAGTTTTTAATTTTTAGTTTACACCTCTACTTTAAAAAACAAGTGAAAGCGTGGGTAGTTTAACATTAATAGGCAAATATTTTATATCATGCGATAGCCAATAAAATTATCTATTAGTAGAAGAAAAAAACAGACACAAGTTTCATACATTTTATGGGAGTAAGAATGTATTTAATTAGAAAAATACATTACTTTTTTCACTTCTTTTTCAGTTATTTTCCAACACAAGAAAAACCTGGTCGATAAGGTATGTTTTATTTGCATTGTATTTTTAGTATTTGAGCTATTCTACAAAACGAATGTAAATTTATTAGTCTACGTTTATTAGTTTCGACGTAATTGTTAAACAAAGATACCCCTTCCCAGCGGTTTCCATAGTAATCGGAATAGGTTGTGTGATTCTTTCAGGCAGTGCATTTTCGAATGTCGCGAGCGCTTTGGGAACCGGTGGGAAGGGGTATCTTTGTTCAACAATTATGTCGAAACTAATAGATGTAGACTAATAAATTTACATTCGTTTTGTAGAATAGCTCAAATACTAATAATACAATGCAAATAAAACATACCTTCACGACCTGGTTTTTCTTGTGTTGGAAAATAACTGAAAAAGAAGTGAAAAAAGTAATGTATTTTTCTAATTAAATACATTCTTACTCCCATAAAATGTATGAAATTTGTGTCTGCTTTCTTCTTCTACTAATAGATAATTTTATTGGCTATCGCATGATACAAAATATTTGCCTATTAATGTTAAGCTACCCACGCTTTCACTTGTTTTTTAAAGAAGAGGTGTAAACTAAAAATTAAAAACTTAAAGCGATGTAATTTTTCTAGAAATGGGTCAGGCCCCAAATTTGAAGTATTTTCATCGATAAAATTGTCCATATATTACGCCCTTAAAGTTTGATCACTACAAGCCCGGACACACTGTATATGTATAACTGTAATTTAGATAATACAATATTATAACATACGCCATGACATGCCTAAAATGCTACTAAGGGCATTCAGAATTAAACGTAGTCAAACTTGTACGGCATAAGCAATACCTAAGTACCTAATGACTATCTAGCATAAAATATTATCTAGCTAGTAGGTACAGTTCGCTACGAGTATGTAAGTAAGGTACTTTAGTATTTAAGTAAGAAAAATAATTAGGTAGGTACTTATGAAGGGCATGATAATTATTTTATCTTTTCTTATGAGTAAGGTAGTTCATCTGAAAACTACTGGAAAATATGCATCTCATAATAAATGTCTTCAGCATCATAAAGCTGGATTTATATTTGTCTAAGTTATCGCGATGCATCAGAAAGGAATCGGTTTGCCGTGTTGTTGTACGTTTACTAAAGACAAAGCTTTTATTCCATACTTACTTAGGCCCTTTCCAGGGCGTCTTTGCCGTACTGTCACTTAAGTAGTGACGCTGCAACTGCGCATCTAAAATTGTATGACATAGCGCAGTAAGCTCGCCACATTGCAGCGCGGCGCTTCCTCGCGGGTCTAATTTAAAGGCGCCTTAAGTCTAGTAAGAACCTTNAGGAAGAACCTTGGATTAAAATGACATTTCCATACCAAATGACAATTTAAGCTAGAGTTCAACTAGGGCGTAACTTTTATTAATAAAGGGGTTAAAGTTTTATTACTTCTTAAGGGTTTTATTATGAGTTGCTAAAGCGAATAAACCCACAAGACCCAATAAGTCCACCTACAAGATGGACCGACGACCTCATAAAGGTAGCGGGAAGGCGCTGGATGCAGGCCGCCGCCTATGTTCAACTGGACGTCCTATGGCTAAAATGATCATGATGATTATGATGAAAGCGAATAAAGGGCTAATAGCTTGGGTAGTTCATCGTAGGTATAATCCTTTCCTTTTCAATGCTTCTTTTAGTTATATTAATATATTGTAGTCATAATACATACTCGTATACATGGATGATTGTGTTATACTTTCATTATAATACTTAGTGGAATTACTGCTTTCAAAACGTGAATTAGAACTGGCCCCATAGCAGACATTTTCCTACATCTAAAGGCCTTTTAAAATATATATTGGTTATGGCTATTGGAGCGGGTACCACTTTCCATACATTTGTGCCCATCATCCTTTAGAAAGCAATTATGTCCACTTTTACAAGTAACAAAACATTATTCTGATATTACATTTCATGCAATATACAGTATTAGGCTGCCAACAACCCAAACAAAATAAAAACTAACTATAAATAAAGAAATTGGTCCACTGAAATAAAATTAAACAAAAATAAACGTTTGATAGCCTATTTGACAACGTTCACTGGGATGAACAATCAAACATTGATAGTAATTTGGCAATGTTCACTGGGATGAACACTCGACTTTGACCTGGTATAACATGGCTTATTTATTAAATGAGCATTATAAATCAATCAAGTTATTGAGCATGAACACTATGCAATACGTTAAAACCACTGTCATTACTCAATTATAATAAAAAACATGCAAAGCTTGATTAAACACCTTGACACTAAAGCCTGGTCTTCGCTATGTCGGCATTTTGGCTAAAATTAACACTTTCAGACTGTGGCTAGCACATAAAAATATTTTTCTACCAAAACTTAAGAATACTTTCTAGTGAAAAAAAAAGTTACCAGTAATTAAGACGTATGCACTCGGCATATTATTTTTTTCAATTTAATGTTCATCCCAGTGAACAAAATCAAATGAAGGGTTAAGAGTCCCAGCAAGCGTACCAGCATTGGTATTCGTAATACTTAGTCATCAACCGGTAACTTTGATTCGGTGCTGTTAGATTCCTTTGCCACACTTCTGAAAAAAAAACAGCAACACATCCTAATTTTGCGGGGAATAAAAAAATCTTCTTCATCATCATCATCATAACATGATGAACATACAACGTTGCCGGGTTGGTAGCGGCCTGCGTCCAGCGCCTTCCTGCTACCTTTACGATGTCGTCGGTCCACCTTGTGGGTGGACGTTCCACGCTACTTTTTCCGGTATGCCCTTCGGAACCGGTTTGGAACTTTTCGGAAAAACTATTAAACTGTTGCATTACTTTCTAGGGTCGAATGGCAAGAGCCAATCGCGGTGCCGGTGTCGAGCGAGCACACGCTATACTCCGTCCCGCTGCCCGGCTCGGGGTCGGTGCTGGCCTTCATCCTCAACATGCTGCGCGACTGGGTGGGCGCCGGCACCGCCGCGCCCGAGGGCTCCACCCTCTACTGGCACCGCATCATCGAAACCTTCAAGTACGCGTACGCAAAGCGAACCGGCCTCGGCGACGCTTCACGCTCTGATTTGGCTAAGAGGATCACGCAGGTGAGTCCCATGCTTTAATCACACTTTAATACTCTCGTTGTTTATTTAGATTTAAAGAAAATAATAAGTAGTTTACTTCCCTATTATCTACTACGTTCAAAAATGGGGTCTCTACCCAGAGACTAAATTTTCCTGCAATGAGGTTTTTCGCGAATGAAAAACCCGCCAGATGGCAATACGCGAGGTCCAAATGCTGCATGATTGGTTATTTTTGACATGACATTGACAGATATGTCAAAATTCACCAATCACGCAGCAGTCAGACCCCACATCCACGTCCCGCCATCTAGCGGATCTTTCATTCGCGAAAACCCTCATTGGTGATGAGTCTCTCACTCAAGACAAAAATGTTGAAGAAAATAAAAAAATATTTTCGTAAATTATTTACCCTAAGTAATAAAGTTTTAAAATCGTGTACATAGGTACTTATGTCCAGCAGTGGACGTCATTTAGTTGAAACTAACGAACTGAGATTACATTATTTTAATTCAAAATACCGATGTGGACAAGAATTAGCGGGCGGCTTATGGTGTTGACAGCGTATTATGTTCATTCTATTAGCCGGTGCCAAAGTAAAATATTTATTTCTTGCAGTTGGAGCGCAACCTATCAGACCCGGCGTGGGCGCGCAGCTACCGCGACCTAGTGGACGATGCGCGCACATTCCCCGACTGGCAGCACTACGGCGCGTCGTTCGAGGGCGCCGACGACCACGGCACAGCTCACATCGTCGTCGTCGCGCCCGATGGCAGCGTCGTGTCTGCTACCAGCACTATCAACTACATGTAAGAATACACCTTTAATACTTGGGGTGCTGTGAAATTAGGTGCACGGTTGCGTATTTCCCGACTGGCAGCACTACGGCGCGTCGTTTGAAGGCGCCGACGACCACGGCGCACATCGTCGTCGTCGCGCCCGACGGCAGCGTCGTGTCCGCTACCAGCACTATCCACTACATGTAAGAATACGCCCTTGAATGTGAAATTAGGTGCACGGCACTTGCATGTTCCCCGACTGGCAGCACTACGACGCGTCGTTCGAGGGCGCCGACGACCACGGCACAGCGCACATCGTCGTCGTCGCGCCCGACGGCAGCGTCGTGTCCGCTACCAGCACTATCAACTACATGTAAGTACGAGTATAAACGCCCTGGAAATCTTGGTGTGCTGTGAAATTAGACACCCTACTGATATCGAAACGCGTACCGGCGGCGAACCGGCGTGACCGACGTTGTTCGCTCGCACCGACTTGTTTACGCACAAGGGAGGGGCAGGGCGTGCAGGCGGAGTAGTAAGGGGGTTCCGCTAGGAAAAATATAATCAATTAGGGTTCCTTGGCAAAAAAAAATTGGGAAACCCTGGCTTAGGGTATGATGGGTTAAATAAAATCAAGCCACATTTGAATATGCACTGCACTTCACTTTACTACCTTACTATCTACAATGGTACGGAGGTAGGTACAGAGCGTCATACATACGCTACAACGCCTCCCTAATGCGACACGCATAAAACAAAATGTAAAAAAAATATTTGGCGCTTTAAGTATGCCGTAACGCGCAGCGCCACTTACCTAAGTGCGGCGCGACCTTTTACTATGCAAACATGTTTTTTTGCGGAAACAGTTGCTATACAAAAGACCTTACGAAAATCATTCTACGACTATCTTCTACAATAATACCTATAAACTATTTCAGTTGGGGTTCTCAACGGCGGTCCCGCTCCCTCGGCATCATGCTGAACAACGAGATGGATGACTTCGCTATCCCCAATCGCGAGTCAGCGTACGGTCTGCCGCCGTCGCCCGCCAACCTCCTGGCTCCTGGCCTACAACCGCTCAGCTCCATGACGCCCAGTATCGTTCTCAAGAACAACCGCACATTGGCATTGGTTGTTGGAGCCGCCGGTGGAACTAAAATAACTACTCAAGTGTCGCTGGTAAGTCAAGAATATTAACTATACTTAGGTCCTCTCATCATTTCAGCCATATGACGTCCACTGCTTGCCTATGCCTCCCCCAATGTTCTCCATGTTGATCGATTACATCATTTGCCACACTTTTCAACTCTCATTTGACTGTTATTATTACAGATAGTGAGACATGTGATCAACGAAGGCGGATCCTTCAAACATGCCGTAATGCGTCCACGACTTCACCACCAGTTGATTCCTATGGAAGTGGAATACGAAGCTGATTTCGATGCGGTTTGTATTTAAATTCTTAAGCTATTATGATCCAAACAAGTAGGTGTGGAAAATTCACACCATAACTCAAGGAAAATGATAAACTATGAGTAATTCTTGAAGCAGGTGTGCCTGCCTAAATACAGATCAACTCACCAATAACAAACAAAATGTGCCATTTATTATGCCGCGTGTGTCGTACAATCACGTCACGATTCTGACCATGGGCAGCCACTTTTATCTTTCACAATAGCTGAATACAGCCTTGACATGGATTGTTGTCGTGATGGCATTTTCTACATAATTATAGGGACAATGTCCCATAATGTCATGATGATCGTTTTTATGATCATCAATTTAAATTATCTGTTGAGTCATTCTTTATGGCAAAATTCACCGTATTTCTTATGAGATAATTTCGGGACTATTCCCACCGCTGCAACTTCTGTGTAGCCAGGATCTACAGCTTGAAACCCAACCAGTGAAGGTCAAGTTTGTCCCGGGATCGGGAGAAAGTTAAACTGTCATTGGACCCGCAACGAAATTAATCAGTGGGCTTAGGCCCAGAACAGACGGTGAAACGCAACTGCAACGAAACTGCAACTGCTAGTTACTTTTGAGTTGCACATAAGTTTCTGCCATAGCGTCCGTTCAGAGACCTACACATGACGCGACCAGTTTGAAACTTTCAGTTTCAGTTTCATTCATCAGAATCATCAGAAAGTTGCAGTTTCGTTGCAGTTGCGTTTCACCGTCTGTTCTGGGCCTTAGTTTACAACAAACGTCTTCACTTTTGACTGCTTAGAAAATTTACATTAAATTTATGACGGATTGTACAGCGCCCCTAGCGATACTTTCAAGAACTAAAATCTTCATAGATTTTTTTAAACGCGCTCTCTAGTGACNCTTCATGAAAACGTTTGATGTAAACTCACACTAAGCCCTCAGAAGAACATAGGAGTTCGAAGTGAAGTTATGAGATAATAGTATTTTTGTTTTAATTCTTTGCAGTCAATAATATCGGCCCTCCGCGCGCGAGGTCACGCTACCACAGAGCTGGGCTCCACGGCTGGCTTCGCGGCCGTCATAGGCGCTGTGAGGGACCCCGATGGATACCTCAGCCCGCAAACCGACCGCCGCCGAATAGGCAGCATGGACGGATTTTAATGACATAAAACGTATTAGAAAATCTCTGGATAAAGGGTCCATTTGACATGATAGGTGAAAGTTGCATTGAAATGCGACACGGGAGAAGTTTGAGTTCAAATTGTGACGAATGTTTCAAATGAAACGGTTTAGTTTAACTTAAGGGGTCGCACTACCAGCAATAAGTTAGCAAGACATAGATAAACAATAGTTTAACGTCCTCATAAATTCAGTGCTTCTTTAAATCGGCTGTCTTGTCCCCATAAAAAAGTATTTTTTGTTAATGTAATCGTCAATAAAGTACTTTTCTTGTGTTATTATCGAAGTAATTAATGGCGATTATTTCAAGGACCCGACGTATTTGTGCTCAAAACGTAGGTAATTTTTAGGATTAAATTATGCACTTCGTGCTTGTGGGTACTGTGTACTTACATTTTTTTTTAATTCAACAACTTACTAACAGTTTTTTATTTTATTTATTTTAATGAACTTCCTATAGTCACAGAAATGTGAAGTACTATAAATCTCCTAATTTCGTAAGCGTATGTCATAAGAGAAATCAACAGTGATATTTTTACTTTAATTCAGCTACTTTAGAATCTAGTTTTGTTTCGGTTGTAAATAATATTAAACTAATTATAGATTTTAAGTTACAGTATTGTTTGTATTATGCCTTTATTGTTACAAGTGTCAAATATAAATTTTGAATGTAAAGTAACATTTTTTTTATTTCATAAAAAAGGATAATTCCTCGTTTATCCCTTCAGCTAAATTAAAAATAATGCCTGTGATAAGAATGGCAGTTAGGTACCTCAATAGTTCAGCAAGGAACGGGGCCACGGACGTACCCAGCTTGATTTATAGGGGGGAGAGGTCAAGGTCATACCCGGCTTCTGGCTTAGGGAGGGGGGGGGCAAGCCATATTAAAGGAATGTTGAGATAAGATCAAGATACACAGACATCACTGCCTTAAGCACGCCAACTACTCCACAACACAGTAGCTTGTTACACCGTACTCGCCGGCGAGTACGAGGCCCTGCTTTCCATTTCGGACGGTACAGACATGTACCGGGCCGGTTCTCCCCTATCCGTCCCCCGGACACGGCCTGAGCCGAGGTCCGAGCCTACCGTGGCGCCCTCAGGCCGCGTCCGTAGTCCTGGCGTAGGCTGGACTTTGGTCCAACACCGCGGTGGGCAACCCTCTAATTGGGTTCGCCACTGATCGGGCGCCTTATGCGCTCGATACGGCCCGATCGCGAACGTCTTTCTGCGACCGACGCGGACGAGCCTGGGCTTCGCTTCGCGAAGCCCACACTCGGCCTCTTCGGCACGCGCACCGACGATCGCCAAACGGCTAGAGTACCTTCTGTACTCGCCAGCGCCACTCTGCCCGGTGAAACTGGAAAAGCTCCTCAAGCTACCAGCGCGCGTCCCTTCAAAAAAAAATAAAAAAATATCAAGATATTGTTTTCTTTATAGAAGACGTAGCGTGGAGGGCACGAAAATGTTTGTCTTCTAAAATATAGAAGACAGTGGCGCTGAAAAGGTTAATAATAATATTATGATGTATATCCAAAAATAGTTAACAACATTTTCAATATAGCCAAAGTGTTTCAACTTAGGGCAGTAATATAAAAAAGTTCGAAACGTCAAAGTCATGATCGTGAGGTATAGTTCCAAAATACTGGACTGTCCTGTCGATGACATTGACAGTGGGGCGCCACCGTCAATACCGGATCGCTGGTTCAGATTTTTGCCATGTTGGAAACCATATAGTTGAACGATGGTAGCGCCCCCCTGTCATTGAGTTTGGTGGGACAGTTCAGCGTGGGTCATCTATAGGTTAGTTGTCAATTATGTCATGTACTTCGCGGTAAAAATTGATTGCGCTGACCGCTAAATCATTGTTTTTATGTTTAAATAACATCTAATACACTGAATTTACACTTTAACTAAATTAGAAATCGTGTTTAGAATATTTATATCTTAAGTTTGCGCTGACAAATTCAAAATGACTCATAATTTGTCAGAAGGTTCGTTGGAGGTATGTAAGCGAGTTTCAACAAGTTTCATTAATTGTTTATTTCTAAAAAACATTCTCATTTATCTTATCCATTAGAGAAGAATGTAATGATATTGCAAGTAATGTAATTGAAACTATATTAAAGCTGTAGTGTGTGTAACCCATTAAGTTGGTAACCTATTTGCTAAGATTTGTAACATTATTTGTCAACTGCGCATTATATAGGGTACCTACCTAGTCTACCTTTAGATAATGTAAGAATTATATATTTCAGATTATAATGAATGGGGGGCATTATGACAAACCAATCATGCAAGTGCTTGGTAGTAAGAAAATCCAGGGTAGTGGTGCCAACGAAAGATTTAGGCTGCTGGTGTCAGATGGGAAGCATTCACACAGCTTCGCGATGCTCGCCACACAGCTCAACGATAAACTGATCACAGGAGAATTGTCCGATTATTCAGTTGTACAAATTGATCGCTTTGTGACATCACTATTGAAAAACACAGGCAAAGGCGAAAAGTGAGTAATCAACTGATAAAAGATTCATCTATTGCAGTAATAGAACATAAGTTTAATCATGCTAACACTTGCAGGAGAGTAATGATAATTCTAGACATCACAATCCTAAAGCCAGGAACCGATGTGGGGAAGAAGATTGGCAACCCACAGACATGGACGGAGGAATCGGCTGGATCGGCCCCTGCTCAGCCGGCTATGCAGCCAGTTCCTAAGCCTGCATCGTCCCCACAACCCTTCTCCAAGCCAGCTCCGATGGCCAACAACAATGTGTCAATGAACAGCAGCATGTTGTCATCACAAATGACCCATCCTATTGCCAGTTTGAGTCCATATCAAAATAAGTAAGGCAATTTTTAAATATTTGGATTAGATTCTTGGCAGAAATCAATTTACCTTGTGAATATAATTATTTAAAAAAATAATCTCCTTTTGATTTTGTTTGCAGTTTAAACCTTTGAAGTAATAATAAAGTAAAGAAAGCTAACTAATGTAATAATGTTTTCTAGATGGGTAATAAAAGCACGAGTCATGAACAAATCCCCAATTCGGACATGGAGCAACGCCCGAGGAGAAGGCAAGCTGTTTAGCATGGACCTTTGTGATGACAGTGGCGAAATCAGGGCCACTGCTTTCAAAAATGAGTGTGATAAGTTTTATGATATGATACAGGTAATTGTAATATCTTCTTTACTTGGAAAAAACTATATAACTTACTCATACAAGTATCTTTGTAACTTTAAGGAAAAGTTCCCACCCTATTAATACAGGTATTATACTTCAAAAGATACCCCAGCCACTTGAAACAAAATGTAATCTTTTAAGATACTGAATAGATTTTTTCATTTTCTTACTTTTTTTTATTAAATAGGAAGTCCTTCCTTATTATTCTTAATGATATTTTCAGGTTGATAAAGTATACTACATTAGCAGATGCCAGCTCAAAACAGCAAACAAACAGTTTACGAGTCTAAAGAACGACTATGAAATGACGTTCAATTCTGATACGGTTGTTGCTGAATGTACGGAAGACTCCTCATCTCTCCCCACTGTCAAGTATGATTTTGTGCCAATTAACATGATCGCAGAGAAGAGCCCAGACACTATCATTGGTAAGGCTTTTTATAATTGGTAACACTAAACCCAATCACAATGATTTTATATGCAACTAGCTGTGCCCCGCGGTGTTACCCGCGGTTTAAACGTAGCCTATGTGTTAATCCAGGGTATCAGCTAACTCCATACCAAAGGACATTGTCAGAAACCGCCTAAAAAACCGCCAAAAAACATTAACCCATCATAATTATTTTCTATTTTTTTTAATANAGGTCATCGTTAGACTTACAGTTCCAAAATATAGATGACCCACGCTGAACTGTCCCGCCAAACTCAATGACAGGGGGGCGCTACCATCGTTCAACTATATGGTTTCCAACATGGCAAAAATCTGAACCAGCGATCCGGTATTGACAGTGGCGCCCCACTGTCAATGTCATCGACAGGACAGTCCAGTATTTTGGAACTATAGCAGTATTTTGGAACTGTAAGTAAACCCCCTAGACAAAACGCACTTTTTGATCGAATCTAAAATCGAATCCGTCAAAACTCCATACAAAAAAGAGGCTCGACCACTTTTTGACTGGTTTGCGATTATAATTTGCACTTTGTCTAGACCCAATCCATGACATTGACAGAGGGGCGCCACCGTCAATACCGGATCGCTGATTCTGATTTTTGCCATGTTGGAAACCAGAGAGCAGAAATAATCTGCTCTCTGTTGGAAACCCAGCCCCCCTAGACAAAACGCACTTTTTGATCGAATCGAAAATCGAATCCGTCAAATTCCATACAAAAAAGGGGCTTTTCGACCACTTTTCGACTGGTTTGCGATTATAATGGCACTTTGTCTAGACCCACTGGAAACCATATAGTTGAACGATGGTAGCGCCCCCCTGTCATTGAGTTAGGCTGAACGTTGAACACGAACCTCAAGATTGTTAAAAATACGCACAAAATAAAATATTTTTATTAAAGAAATGTTGAGATAAGATCACGCAATTTATCGATCATTTATAGAAGACGTAGCGTGGAGGGCACGAAAATGTTTGTCACTTTGTCTTCTAAAATATACAAGACAGTGGCGCTGAAAAGGTTAATAATAATATTATGATGTACGATGTACATCGAAAAATAGTTACCTATAGATGACCCACGCTGAACTGTCCCGCCAAACTCAATGACAGGGGGGCGCTACCATCGTTCAACTATATGGTTTCCAACATGGCAAAAATCTGAACCAGCGATCCGGTATTGACGGTGGCGCCCCACTGTCAATGTCATCGACAGGACAGTCCAGTATTTTGGAACTATAACAACATTTTCTCTTCTTCTTCTTCTTCTTCTTTTATTTTGGCCACAACTTGGTTTTGAGAACCACGATTTCGCCAATGTCACGTAATCAGCTTTGACAAAGTTTACAGGGTTTATAAAATTCAAAAATGTTTAAGTTTAAAATGTTAAGCTAAATTATTTGTGTGAGTACCTTAAACAAAAAAGACATCACAAATTGAGACAACACAAATANGGATTAGAGTAGATACAGCAAGTTGATCGTCAAAGCGTGCCATTCCGATATGTCCAAATGGACATACATGGTCGAGTGATGTTCATGTAATCCGATTACAACAATCGGTTACGATGATTTTACGAGGACAGTAGTACGAACACGGTAGAAAGAAGAAATGATTTACTGATAGAGAATTGTAATTAACAGCACAAGTATAATTAATTAGAATAAAGTAGCAGTAGAAGAAGTATAAAGTAGCATTGTTTTTAATACATATCCTGCGATGTACTCTTAAGAGTTAAAACCATGGTCCCTGTATGTGGTGCACTCATACCGATCCCAAGGAACCGTACTTACTCATAACATTATGACACACACTGATCCGTGTATTCAAACACCAGACAGGGTGAAAAAAATAATGAGATTTGACGATTTGTAAGAATTAATTTATTTGAAGAGGAAAATAAAGATGTTTTTGGTTTTGTATCGGGCCCCCGGGAAACCCCTAGTGCCAGACTTTTCAAATAGACAGAGTAGAGGTATCTGCCTAAGGAAGTTCTATAATTTTGCCATTACCTTTTTTATAAATGACGGCGGAGAGAACAATTTTATTCAAACCTTTTTAATTGTTTTGATTATTTTATAGGGCTCATCTAAAGCACAATACTTATTCTTTGCACTTTTAATACTTCGAACGTTTTTTACCACACTGAATTTTGTCGTTTAGAAATAACTTCAAAACTAGGTACCTGACTTAGCTTTATGAAACAAAACGTATTGGCAAAACTACGCATTTTTACATTTATTAAAAATAAAAAGCTTGAGTTAATAGTCTTTATTTCTAGGTCAGGTACTTACTAGGATATTTAAAAGTATGGAATTAAGTATGAATTACTAGTAGGACTATTTAACATAATGGAATAACGATCATTACTTTCATAAACATTAGGTACAACAAAAATATTATTTGCAAATAATAAGAAAATTAATAATATAGAATAACGTTTACCGCTACAAAATTATTTTAATCCACAGTCAGACTAGCTATAAATTTAACAAAATATCAGTATTATCGGAATTAATAAATTTTCGTATCGAGTCACACGATATCTTTCGATGACTATGCGAATGCAGTACGATGATACGATTACTTTTACGTTGCGGCAATCACTAAAATTCGCTAAAATGACACTAATGACGTTTAAAAAGTGGCACGCTCGGCTTCATACAATTTTTGACACATGCTGCATCTATCCATATCTGTGGATATGGATTTCTGCTTTTCTGTACAGACATGGATTAGAGCACAGATATGGATTAGAGTAGATACAGCAAGTTGCTCGTCAAAGCCGTGCGGCGTGCCATTCCGATATGTCCAAATGGACATACATGGTCGAGTGATGTTCACGTTGTTAAATTAATTGTAATCCGATTACAACAATCGGTTACGATGATTTTACGAGGACAGTAGTACGAACACGGTAGAAAGAAGAAATTATTAACGGATTGAGAATTGTAATTAACAGCACAAGTAACAAATTTGTTAGTACAAATTTGTTATAATATAATTAGAATAAAGTAGCAGTAGAAGAAGTATAAAATAGCATTGTTTTTAATACAGGAAATAATAAATATCGGAAATAGTTATCAGAGAAATAATGATAAAATCACAACATTTTAACACCAATCCTTAACTAACCAAATGTCACATTATCAATAAGGTTTTGAATTATTTTATTAATAGCAATATTTTTAATTCCTTTAAAAAACATAAGTTTGATCAACCGACCACAGAAAATCATTTAAATTAAGTCGTTTAGAAATATCTTCAAAACTAGGTATAGATGACCCACGCTGAACTGTCCCGCCAAACTCAATGACAGGGCGGCGCTACCATCGTTCAACTATATGGTTTCCAACATGGCAAAAATCGGAACCAGCGATCCGGTATTGACGGTGGCGCCCCACTGTCAATGTCATCGATAGGACAGTCCAGTATTTTGGAACTATNAGTGCAGTGAGTAGTGTCTCTAGTGACAATAAAAAAAAACTGTTATGTCAATGTCGCGCCACGCGTGTCGGTTGGCGAGTTTGTTTGTGTCAATCAACAAAGAAATAGGCTGAAAGGCAAACGTTTAAATAAACTGTTGTTTTTGTAAAGTCTTCCAAAAGAACACTGGAAATACTTAGGATATAACAAACTTATAAAACTAAATGCGGATGTTTTTTTTTGTTCTTACTTTAATATAGGGTGTTTGGCGGAAGGTTAGACAAACTTCGTGGGTGTATAGATAAGGTCATTTTAAGAATACAGGTTCGCCCATTTTACCCTAAGTGAGCTACTTCTTTTTTAATTGATGTTTTTGTTTTTATTTATTTTTTTCCAAAATGTGACCTAAAACCTGTTTCTTTTTTTTTCTCGCATGTTTTCAACCGCTTTTTTTATTTGATATTAATATCGAATATGTCTTTAGTCAAATAAAATAAATTTCAAATCCAGATAATGATTGAATAGGTAGTTAAGAACCGCCAAAGTTTAACAAAAGTACAAACCACGATAAAAAATTCTACTTAGAATTCGATAAAAAAAAATTAAAGGTGATAATGGATTGCCAATGATCTTAAAAACATCTCTAGTTTCTCTTCTTTGCAATGATACATCACATCATCACATGTAGTAATTAGATATTGAAATTCGTCAAAAATTCAAAGTTTAGGGAAGAAAATGCAATAATAATACTGAAGATTTTTCTCATGTATAGCTTTTACTGTTTTTAGGGTTCCGTAGCCAAATGGAAAAAACGGAACCCTTATAGATTCGTTATGTCTGTCTGTCTGTCTGTCTGTCTGTCCGTCCGTCCGTCCGTCTGTCCGTCCGTATGTCACAGCCATTTTTTTCCGAAACTATAAGAGCAAAAAATTTTTTTTCATCAAACACATACGTGTGGGGTATCTATGGATAGGTCTTCAAAAATGATATCGAGGTTTTTAAAATACTTTTTTTCTAAACCGAATATTTTGCGTGACAGACGCTTCCAAAGTGGAAAAAAGTTGAAAAATCTAAAATAAACATATGATGTACATTACTATAAAAACTACCAACGAAAATTGTTTTGAACGAGATCTAGAAAGTAGTTTTTTTTAATACCTCGTAAATCGTAAACCGCTTATTACCGCGTAATCTTTCATACTAATAACTTAAATAAAAAATAATTTTAATTTCATAAATCAATGGTACGGAACCCTCGGTGCGCGAGTTCGACTCGCACTTGGCCGGTTTTTTTAATAATACAATGCTTAAATTAGTGGATTATAAAAAATCTTAAAAAAGTACTCGATTTATACAAAACATCGATGTTTTCTTAAAATACATCGAAAGAAATCGATGTACAGTTTCGATATATCGAATCGAAAAAAACATCGATGTTTTTTCAAAGTGGACACCCCTATACGCGCGTCTCGTAATGGGTTGCGCGGGCGACTGATAGAAGCGCCGCGCGGCCAGGCCGGCCGGTCGAGCGTTGCCACACGTTGCCAGCTCTCCGCTCGACCAGCTCTCCCGCAAAATGTTTACGCGCTAAGCGCGGTAACCACACTACGTGATTAATTGGTTAGGAAAAACATCGTTGATGTTAAAATTTGACCTACCTATTTTTTATTAAAAATGTCATTTATAAACGATACCTAATGTCAGGAAAAAATTTGGATACTGATACAAAAGTCACCCTGTATATCGGATATATATCATAAATATCCGATATTTTGATATTTATAATAAATATCGGATATTTTCGAACCCTGATAATTTATGCTGATCTGTAACACTAAATTTCACGCGGGTGAAGCTGCGGGCAAAAACTAGTTTAATTATGTATTTCTTCATCTTTTAGATGTTATTGGAGTCTGCAAATCAGTGGCTGACCTTCAAGAGCTGACAGCAAAAAGCACAGGAAAACTATTGAAAAAGAGAGAAGTGACTTTAGTGGATTCTTCTGGTGGTGCAGTATGTATTTGATATCACTTTTATTATAAAATTCATAAGCTATTAATCATTGTTTTCTTTAATCATAACAATTAATTAATTTTTAGGTTGTCCTTACATTATGGGGAGCTGAAGCAGAGAAGTTTGAAGGAAGCACCAATCCTGTTATTTCTGCAAAGGTGATATTTATTTTTAATAACAAAGGCACTATGAACTATGAGCCATCAAAGAAGTCTCTCGTGACTAAAGCAGACTTAACATTCACTCTGGAGACACTTATCCTCTTCTCTTCATTTTGTCTGACAGTTCATAGCACTGAATAGTTGTGGAAGAAAAGTGCAAGTGATTTATGGGGCGAGTCAATGCGGACAAGTAGAATAACCCTTGTCAAGCCTCTTTCAAACCCCCTTATAAGTTGGAGCGGGGAGGAGGTATAGGTCGCCACCGTGTAGTGTAGGGCTGAATGACCGCGGAGGACGTCCAGAGTTATCATTAAATTGATTCCTGCTAAATATTAAAATCTATATATATAAAAGAAAGTCGTGTTAGTTACTCCACTTATAACTCAAGAACGGCTGAACCGATTTAGCAGAAAATTGTCAGGGAGGTAGTTTAGAGCCAGGAGAAGGACATAGGATAATTTTTATCCCGTTCGAAATAAAAAAAAATGCTGCTTATTTATTGCCATTAAGGCGGAACAAAGTTCGCCGGGTCAGCTAGTTAAAGATAAAAGCTGTAATTCAATGCTATTCAACTAGTCTTGAGCTTAATAAATTGAACTTTGTCACCTCGCATTAAGGCCCAAAATCAATGATCTTGTTCAGGGCGCGCGCTTGGCCGAGTTCAACGGCAGCAAGTCGCTGTCGTGCCTGGCGAGCACCATGCTGCGGCTCAACCCCGACCTGCCCGAGGCGCACCGCCTGCGCGGCTGGTACGACAACGGCGGCGCCGACATGGAGATCGTCAACATCTCCGCCAAGTGAGTCCCTTAGAGATCTAGAGAGATGCCAACTAATGCGCTGAGTTCGAAACCCACACACACAAAGTAATCAAAATAAAACGATATGGACATCGTCAACATCTCCGCCAAGGGAGTCTCCCTAGTCACTAGAGATGTATTGAACTCCAGTCTAGTGAACCCAGGAGGTTTAATATCTAGAGAATAAAAGGATAGGCTTATTCTGGCTGCTGAAAGGGAAACACAACAACGGCGCCGATATGGAGATCGTCAACATCTCCTCCAAGTGAGTCCCTCCCCTAGAGATCTAGAGAGATGCCAAATAATGCGCTGAGTTCGAAACCCAGTGTCTCATTAGAAACACACACAAAGTAATCAAAATAAAACGATGGAGAGATCGTCAACATCTCCGCCAAGTGAGTCCCTATCGTCTAGATATCTATAGAGATGCCAACTAATGCGCTGAGTTCGAAACCCAGTGTCTAATTAGAAACTCGCACACACAAAGTAATCAAAATAAAACGATGGAGAGATCGTCAACATCTCCGCCAAGTGAGTCCCCATCGTCTAGCTGAGGTCGCGGGATGCAGCTGGATACTAGGCGCCTGCCGAGTTCAACGGCAGCAAGTCGCTGTCGTGCCTGGCGAGCACCATGCTGCGGCTCAACCCCGACCTGCCCGAGGCGCACCGCCTGCGCGGCTGGTACGACAACGGCGGCGCCGACATGGAGATCGTCAACATCTCCGCCAAGTGAGTCCCTTAGAGATCTAGAGAGATGCCAACTAATGCGCTGAGTTCGAAACCCACACACACAAAGTAATCAAAATAAAACGATATGGACATCGTCAACATCTCCGCCAAGGGAGTCTCCCTAGTCACTAGAGATGTATTAAACTCCAGTCTAGTGAACCCAGGAGGTTTAATATCTAGAGAATAAAAGGATAGGCTTATTCTGGCTGCTGAAAGGGAAACACAACAACGGCGCCGATATGGAGATCGTCAACATCTCCTCCAAGTGAGTCCCTCCCCTAGAGATCTAGAGAGATGCCAAATAATGCGCTGAGTTCGAAACCCAGTGTCTCATTAGAAACACACACAAAGTAATCAAAATAAAACGATGGAGAAATCGTCAACATCTCCGCCAAGTGAGTCCCTATCGTCTAGATATCTATAGAGATGCCAACTAATGCGCTGAGTTCGAAACCCAGTGTCTAATTAGAAACTCGCACACACAAAGTAATCAAAATAAAACGATGGAGAGATCGTCAACATCTCCGCCAAGTGAGTCCCCATCGTCTAGCTGAGGTCGCGGGATGCAGCTGGATACTAGGCGCCTGCCGAGTTCAACGGCAGCAAGTCGCTGTCGTGCCTGGCGAGCACCATGCTGCGGCTCAACCCCGACCTGCCCGAGGCGCACCGCCTGCGCGGCTGGTACGACAACGGCGGCGCCGACATGGAGATCGTCAACATCTCCGCCAAGTGAGTCCCTTAGAGATCTAGAGCAATAACGCCCCCTTGTGGGCGCTGCAGGCTTAAAGGGGGGCGGTAAGAGACCCAGAATAAAAATCGGGACGTTGTGGAGAGGCTTGGGAGGCGTCATCTACTAGGAGGACTCTTAGACACCGACTGAGCTCGACTCTTGACTACAAAAATGGGGGGCGTTAAAAAATAATTTATTCTCAAAGTGGGCAGTAAACTAAATAAGTTTGGGAACCGCTGATCTAGAGAGATGCCAACTAATGCGCTGAGTTCGAAACCGCATTCGAAACTCACACACACAAAGTAATCAAAATAAAACGATATGGAGATCGTCAACATCTCCGCCAAGTGAGTACTATGATCACTGACTGACTGACTGACCCACTCACTCATCACGAAATCTCAGAAACTACAAGTGCTACTGTGCTAGGACTCTCAAATTTTTCATGGGGGTTCCTTTTAGAACGTAGGTGCTCACTAAGAACGGATTTTACGAAACTCCACCCCTAAGGGAGTCGCGGGCGGCCGCTAGTAAATAAATAAATGTTCTTGGACATTATACACTGCGTCGTCCGATACGCGACTCACTACACGAAACAGCCGTCATCTAGCTAAGGTTGCGAAATGCACCTGGCATTGCAAGACTGGTTGTCGTAGAAATCCTTGGGGAAGGCGTTTGTCCAATTGATGCAGCAGTGGGCGACTGGCCGTCCTTTGGAACGAAATTCTTATAACGGGCGCAATAACACTGCCTCTTTAATTTTATCTACTAACGTAAGTAGTATGCCGTAATTTGTTAAAACTACAAAATCTGCGTCTCTGCACCCCCAAATAAGCTCTCACCAGCGCAAACACTATAATCAGCTACATGGTCCTTCGAGCCGGATACAAACCAGCGACCTGCGGATATGAAGCTAATACAATTAAATGATTTCAGGTTAATACAAGTAAATCATTGCAGGTTAACAAAAGTGAATGATTGCAGGTCGGGCATGTACAGCGGCGGCAGCAACGAGTGGCTGTCGTTCGCGGAGGCCGAGGCGCGCCAGCTCGGCGCCGGCGACAAGGGCGACTACTACAGCCTGTTGGGCGTGCTCACCTTCACGTTCAGGTAGCTATGTACTATAATTCGCTGTCTTTAAACTTCGAACCGCACTTTGAACTCCACCATTTGAAGTTCGAAACAGGCCAGCCCCCCTAGACAAAACGCACTTTTTGATCGAATCGAAAATCGAATCCGTCAAAACTCCATACAAAAAAGGGGCGTTTCGATCACTTTTCGACTGGTTTGCGATTATAACCTTTAACTGGTGACCTGAAGTCAACAGTGCGTATTTGGTGAGGTGACGTTTAAGAGACGTCAAAGAAAAACTAATGTACAAAAAAATTGGCTAACGTAAAATAAGTTTGAGGCCAAGAATTTCGTAACTTATATAGTTGTCCAAATAATATAAAAACATGGATTAAAAAAACATTAGTTTTTGGTACAAAATCAGTCTTTATTTGAGCAAGGTACTTTTCATTAAAAAAAAAGTTAGTCACCTAAAATGGGCATACTAGCCCCCAGAAATACACTTTGGGACCTTCCTAATCATCATTTTTAGATAGTTTAGATACTAATCAACAAAACTCAGCAGGTAAAGATATCCTAAGATAAGAAATTAAAAAAACTACAATCATCAAACATCACTTACTAGAAACGTTCACGTCTATAAACATCACAATTTTGCTGCAGAAATTTAGGCACATAGGTTTATCATAATAAGTTCTAGTGAACCTAGTTCATTTTATTACATGGCTAAGACAAATGGCACATGTTCTTTTAACCCCAGAATGGTTTTGGGACGAGGCAGAAGTCGGTCTAGGTGGTAATTCATCAACACCAACTGAACGCAGCTCCCGGGGTAGGGTAGTCATTATAAACCACGAGTTTCGATTGAGGTATAACTAAAGAGCTATCCAATGATAATAAGAAGCTGCCCCTAGATACCTTGTTAGTATTGTCGCAATTACTGTTTAAGACGTAAGAATTTATTCCTGAAAAATATCGACTGAGCTAAGCTATAGAATATGATTATACATAGGCCAATAAGGATGTTAAATAGTTGAAACACTTTGTTCCACCTCATCCATCAACTCCTCCTATTTCGTCAGGACACTGTTATTCAATGGTGGAGGTGTTGATTTCATCTCCAGATTGCTCAGATTTGGTAACATGCAGACTTTCTAAAACGAAGTCAGGATCGCCTATATCGTCGTCAAAACTACTACACTCGTCGTCGCTCTCTGTTAGAAGCTCCTGTATTTATACCTCGCTGACTAAGAACCCTTCTTCTTTTGGCAGACCTCGTTTATTTATCGTGAGAAATTCTATAAAAGATAATAACAATACATTACCACCGCTGTGACGTTCCTCGAACACTATGAAGTTGTGTAAACTAACTGTGAGGTGACGAACAACAGACACATAGGTAAAATACACATTAGCACTGACCTGACGTCTGTGAGACGGCGAAAGCTCCACACAGGCAACACAGGAGACCCTGAGCTGGTGCGCCCCCTACTGAACGAAAGTGTATGGCAAACGCGGAAGGTACCAAAACGCACGGGGAGAAGCGACAAAAAAGACGGGGAGATAAATCAAAAAAACGAAACGCGGTGTCTGAGAGACGGGCAGGTCACCAGTTAAAGGATAATTTGCACTTTGTCTAGACCCACTGTTCATCTCCCCGAGTAAGCATTGAAAAAAAACGCGCGGCATACAAAACGCGGATGCTGGACATAGCGATTTATTAGATTTGCATTTATGTACCACAATAAATAACAAATTAATATGAATAGGATACGCTTGTGGTGCTATCTGTCATTTAATGAATCCTACTTGTGCGTATAAGTAAACAAAGCCCCTTAATAATAAAAGTTACACCATAGTTGATCCCTGTTTTAAAGTGACGTTAAGTATGGAAATATCACTGTAAAACAGTGTTCAACTAGGGAATTACACCCTAATAAGGAGGAAAGTTTGTTTATTTCCTAAATGCTCTAACTAACATACATTCGATTGCTCTAACTAACAACTAAAGTCTGGTCGCGGAGCACGTAGAATTTTGTCCAATGACCCCAAGCTACCTATCCTTATGGCTCGCGCGTAATTATATTGCTGTCGCGACTGTGCGACTGGCGGCAGCAGTGAGTGTGCGAGCGCAACAGCAATATAATTACGCGCGAGCGATAAGGATGGGTAGCTTGGGGTCATTGGACAAAATTCTACGTGCTCGGACACCAGGCTTTATATCGGTGGTATAACTGAGGCTTAGTCTTTAACTATAACAAACGTTAAAAATCTATCTAACTCCATACAAAAACACCGGTTGTGGTTATAGTTACGGTTAGATAAGCTTGAGCAACTCAGCCTTATTATAGCACAACATCGAGAATCGCTGTCTCACTTCACACATGATGGTTTGAAGTTCGATTCAACAAGTGTTTTGGTGTAAAATTTCATCACTCAACATCATCATAATTCATCAGGTCATTAAATCTCCACTGCACTGCAAAAACATGATCCTCTACAATGTAATGGAGGATTTGGCACTCTTCATCTCTCTCTGTGACTGACTGAATCCACCGTTTGGCCCGACTCTTCAAAAGGTTGACTAGTAAATTCTCTAATATCTGGTCCCTTTGCAGCGACAACGCCGTATACAAGGCGTGCCCGCAGGAGGCGTGCAACAAGAAGCTGGTGGACCAGGAGAACGGCCTGTTCCGCTGCGAGAAGTGCAACCGCGAGTACCCCAACTATAAGCACCGGCTGCTCTTGGGGGTATGTGTACTATGGGAACTATAGTGATAAATCTTAATTGATAACCAATATTTCAAGACAGAATTTGAAAAAACCACTAGTCTAAAATCCAAGATTTTGGCACGTCTTTCACTGCAGCGTCATTCGACCGCATGTGTTTCGCTTTGGTAGCCTTTCGCTCTAGCGTACTATGAGGAATGTTTGGTCTATTCCGCTTTGATCCCCTAGGTGATCAAAGTGGACGTCTAGCGACAATTTAGTGTTCTTTGATCACCCACGGATAAGATGCCCTGGGTGATCAAAGTGGACTCCAGTTTAATTAATATTTTAGTTTCCTTTATCACATATAAATAAATTACACCATTGAATTAGACTATTTAGAGGTGTGTGATCAGTTCCTATAGCCATACAAGTCTTTTGCATTATTTTGATAGTGCCTACCTAAAAGTACCCTGTTGTATGAGTAAATAAAATTCCGCGTTGTTCTACTCAGGCAAACGTGTCAGACCCGACCGGCGACCAGCGTATCACGGCGTTCAACGAGGCAGCCGAAGCCATGTTGGGCCGCAGTGCCGCTGAAATAGGCCAGATGTTCGATCACGACAAGACGGCCTATGCGCAGCTCTTCGAGGAGGTCAAATTCCGCACCTTCGTCTTCAAGTTCCGCACCAAAATGGAGACTTATAGCGTAAGTTGACTGACTGTTTGATGAAAATATTTCTTATTTCCATCATATGTATGTTGAATGAGCTAGGATTTCATGTCTATTAGATTCTCACTATCCCCCACTGGTGGACTATGGGGAAAATGTCGAGATGTGCACTACTAAAATCTTCCCGTTAGACCTTATCAGTGGCAACTGGGAAAAAATGTCTTGCTTTGTCTTTGAGTGATGGATATCGCAACTTTTCGTCCGCCATTGGAGGACAAATGGTAGGGGCAAAGGCAACAGGAATTTCAGGCCTGCTTACAGCGATTCTCAAATTTTAAACCTGTTATTCTGAAAAGAAGAAAAATACATTGTATTATTTAATTACAGGATGAGACCCGATTGAAGACTACAGTTATGAACGCACAACCGGTCGATTACAAGGATGGCAACACTCGACTTATAAAAAGCATAAAAGAAGTTACTGGCGTTGAAGTTTAACACGACACACTTTGAAGAATACTCAAGAAATTTTGTTCTACTTTTCTCTTTCGCCATACGAATTTTACAGCGTAATGAAATAATTTTCTCTGGTGATTGAGAATCAGCCTTTAAATTGATTGTCAGTTCAGTTTTTATTGTTTAAATTATGTTAAGGAATTACAATTATTTTGCAGATTTAAAATCTGGTTAAAAACATTCACTTTCACCGACTTATTGAACAGTGATAATAGTAATAGGTACCTATGTAATAATAATGTTGATCTAATGTTATTTTCATCTTCTTTCTACAGAAAGCAGGAAATGTTGAAACTGAATAATAAATAGTTTTTTGAATAATCTCGATATATTATTGCAGGAACTACTTAAAAATATTAACCCACTATCTATACGGCAAAATATGTAGAATGATTGGTTTCGACTTTGATAAGGATATTTTATAATAATGTTCAAATGGGACAGCTTTGTAAAGAGTTAGGAGGAAAATTAAACCATCGAATTTTCACTAGGTACTTTATTGAATCTCATTGATATGACTTTTAATTTGGCTAATAAAATGGACATTATGTGGATATACCGGGCAATTACAAAAACATTTGTATATATATCAAAGTAAAAAGTAGGTATGACACTGGGTTTTCACACGGACATTTGTACACATAAATGCAATGCAATGTAATTCGGGAAATACGAATATTTTTAAAACTGCCTACAGATTGTATCTGAGATTTGAGAAGGTTACTTACTGTTTGATTGTATCTGAGAAAGTTACTTACTGTATAGGGTATTTTATTTATTTTTAGATAATTATTCATGCATGATGAATTTAAACTTTTTTAAATGTCACAACAAAATTACCTATATTTTATTTACATGAGTTACATTGTGCAATTCCTGATAATTGCCCGTGTACAAATGCAGTATGACTGTGCATAAAATTAAGTAGCTAATGTCTTTCGATAATTACATTATAAGGGGTCATAATTACTATGTTAAATGTACACTTATAATAAATACAAAAGAATGTCCATTTACACATTTCCCGTGATTGTTCCAACGTAAGTAAATAAATGACAAACTATCAATAAAGGATCAATCAGTAACATACAATGGCAGTGTGAGTTATATCCTACAGCTAAAACCATAACTTACAGACAGACATGAGTGTATCACCTATAAGTTTGGGCTTTAGAATCATCATAATAATAAAAATGCTAACTGTATGTATGGTCATCTTTAAACAAGACGTATTCTACAACATTCTTAACAACCAGTTAGAATAAGTTAAATAAATAGTTGGCCTAGTGCATACAAATTATATTAGTGTAAAACAGTCAAGAGTTACAAACCGGTTCAATTGACAACTTCTTAGCGAGTGCCATACGATCCCGAGGCCTAACATTAACAATTATGTGACAAGATTAGTGTACGATTAATGACTAAATTTAATTTTCAAAACATTAAATTCTAAAATAGTTACAATAAATAAAGCCTTCATTCAAAATTAATTCCGATTCATTCAAAAAGGCCTTGATGTTAGCTACCGAACTATCACAAAATGTGTGTCTCTGTTACACAACTTATAAAATTAAAGCCATAACCAAGAGATTTAAATACAATTACACATAGAGATTACGAATAGACGAGATATTTCACTATTTCTACAAAATCCATCGGCGGAACTTTCAAATGAAATTACCGGATTTTCGTTACTAACAGTTTCTGTCTATACATTCGTGATGATCGCAACATTAATATTACACTTACAATAAATATTACTGTCATAACAATTTATTACAATGATAAATAATTATCGTTTTTGTTAAGAGATATACCTTTACTTTAGGTAAATATTAAGAAAATATAATGTTTATTCTTAAATAATTCAATTCCAAATTAGGTGATTTATCGTAAATTCTGCAACTTCATCATAAATAATACTGAAAGAGATTCTATAATATCACTGAGAAGTAAAAAAAAAATACACGAATAGATACATTTATACGACGTTAGTATAAACATTAATAAAATAGATTTCACACAGTGGCGAGAGAACCGCACTAAGGTAACTTCAATCGAAACTGACGTGTATAACGTTCGCACACGGACGCGCGTCCGTGACGTCACCGTGGTCCCGGCCACTCATTCGCGCACTATGCACTACACTAGAGTCCAGACGCGCTCGCCTCGCGAGCCGCCCGCCCGACCGGCGCCCCCGCCCGCCGCCACGCTCGTGCCGCAACGCGACCGCACTACCACTACGGAATAATAAATTAAGGCGAATAAATACAAGCGACGCTCTTTGGAACGATTACAGAGGTGCGCGGGACGCGGCCGACCTCCGCCTGCCGCTCCGTTCCTTCGCTAAAGATAATACCGTAAAACGAACTTAACTCTACAAGCTAAACGAAAATATGGCCCCGAGAGGCTAGCTCTCACTGAAACTTAAAGCTCGGTCGATGCGCCGACGCAGTCGCCACCGCCGGGCTTCGACTTCCAAATTAACAAAACGCACTACGCGAAATAAACCGACATAAATCATAGCACTCGCGCTGAATATGGCCGAATTTAATCATAGTCCGTCTGGATTTAACTCGTAACGCTGTTAAAATGAGATTCGGGGATTCGATTCAGTCAAAGCACTATGAATTTTTCGATAACAAAAGATAACGCTATCCGTGCGGTTCACCGTTGAAGATGTTTCGACCGCCGGCAGCCGCCGCCCCCGCGCCCGCCCTGCGCGGATTTCGGGGGGCGGACGAGGCTGCCGGGGTCCGATGACGATCGCATTCACACACCTGTACGGACCCGTGTTCAGTGCTCCGTTTCATTGTACTTATCTAACAGAGAATCCAGTGTTGCCAGAAGGTTACTTTTGTAACCTTTTAGGTTACTTTTGAACTGCTGTGGTTACTTTTAGGTTACACTAATGAAAAGGTTACTTTTAGGTGATTTTTCAGAAATTGTAGAATTAACTTTACAGGTTATTCAGTAAAAAATATTAATAGTGACAATTTAAAAATAATGTCATAAAGTGCATTTAAACTTGAATTTGATTTATTATTTGTTAAAAAAGATGAGTTTTAGCGAATTTTTTTCGATAATAAAACGCAAATCCATGAAACGTTTTTATACTTTTCGAATTTAGATGATCAATTGTATTCATTTTCCATCCATGAACAACCTTACACAATCATCGTATGAAGGTTACTTTTGATTCAAAAATGTTACTTTTTTATATTTCTGGTAATTTCTGACTAGACCCGACTGGCAACACTGAGAGAATCTGCTGAGCGAACCCGCCCGCCCGCTACACTAGTCGGACGTCGGGTTGGGAGCACTGAAGGGGCCGCTGCGTGGCGCTGGCTGCGGGCCTAGCCCCGGGGCGCGCCTCACGGCACCAGGTCGGGCAGGCGCCCGCGGCCCTAGGGGCGCGCGCCCCCGTCCGCCTGCACCACCTGCGGGACAGAACACTCTTACATCACTTGCCTCCGATAAAAACACAACAGGAAGAAGACTTGACTCTGGACCGTTGCCTCAAGATAGACAGCTTAGAGTCTATTCTGGCTATACCGGGCCCTTTAATGGCCGACGAGCATGCAATTCGTTGAGGTAGTAATAAGAAAAACATCCCACTTACATTTGGTGCCAATGATAAACTAGCTAAGCCTGTAGGCCTAAGAATACTAGGATGCGCGCCGCGACAAGCTTTTATCGCGCATTTCACCGATTTTACGCGATAAGCCCATACATTTTAACGTCTTAATCATCGATAAGATATTGTCACGGCGCGCATCCTAGTCCATTCAATTGTGGTTTGAACACTCAGATCATAGAAGGGAATAGATGTGAAACGGGGGCGTGGCGCGTGTCTCCGCGATATGCCCAGAAACGAACATCGGCCGCGACGCCAGGTTAGTCGCGATTCAGTCGTACTGAGGAAATGTTCTCCGATATTGTTGGATAATGCGTCGTAACGTGCAATAACATAAGTGAAACGAAGAACTACAGGAACAATGAAGTCATTTACCACATGTAAGTATTGCAAATCCATTGGTATTTTGCTTATAAATAAAAAAAACTAAACATTTTTACGAACGAATTCAGTGCCGTGACATTTACTGCGATATCGAAATTAGTGGTGATAAAAATTCAAACACGTTGTACATTGACGATTTAGTTAGCAACCACTTTATGTCATGCGTAACTACTGCGCAATGTATTTTATTTCTTCCGATATCCACTGACGCGTGAAAATACACAGTACGGCCGCATGTGCCGGTCGTAACATAGTGCAGGGCTCGTGTTCTAATACGGTTTCCTATTATCGATAAATAGAAGTAAATTATTATTTTCTATTTTCTAATTTTGAATGAAAAAATCATGAGTTGCTTGCGATTTTTAAGTTTTTACAAAAACAATAACAATAGTAGAAGGGATTAGTAACTGTCAACTATGTAATTACTATAAGAGCTAGTTGAAAGCCTAATATAGGCATTATTTTTGATAAACATAGGCGGTACGAATTTCGCCATAATTAAAAAGTTAATGCGCGATAGTAGTTAATAATAATTACAGTGATCCTGTTATTATTATTAAAGTAAATAATAATATATTACCAATATTGTAAATACTGGTAAAAATCGCAAGTACCTACTTAACCCATGACTTTTCATACAAACTTTGTCAGTCTATAACTTCTATACTCCATCGATAACGACATTGAGCTTTGGTTGGGGTAAATTAATGTAAGGTAACTTCATTTAGTCCCAATAATTGATTCTGAGTTTTTCTTCCATACAAAATGGAACTGACTCCTTTATGCAAAAATCGTTAAAGAACATAAACATAACGTATAATAATAAAAAGGTTTTCATACAAGCATTTTTTAAACCAATTTCGAGCCTTGCCCCCAGGATTTAAAGTATCGATATCTTATCGACTCCATTTTATCTTTCTTCTCTCTAATTGCTTTTTTCAAAGTGTGCGTCACGTCACGCGGCCATTGATTGGCCATAAGGCACGCCTTCTGGCCAATCACAGCACTTTTAAGCCGGTTGCACATGTTGTCGTAGACTCTCAGTCGCTTTGTTTTTACACAGTTGAATGTGTGTGTGGGAGCTGTGGTGGGGGAAATGTGGGGACACTGGTTCTCGTTGTAGTTACGCGCGACTTCATATCTATTCTCTTTCTATGATCTGAGTTTGAACAGTTAAATATTAATTTGAGAGATCATCGTTTTAAGATTCGTCATTTTAGAAAACAAACTTGCTAGCAACATACTTATAAGTAATTGCAACATAATGAAGTGACTCACTTTCCGCTGCTTGAAGTAGACCTCCTCGCTCTCCTTGTCGCACAGCAGCAGCACGACGGCGCCGAAGAGGAAGATGGCGGCGCCCCAGCCCACGCCGTATGCCCAGCCAAACTCCCACACCGACCGGTTACCTGCCCGCAAAAACAAGCGGTCAGTATCAAACCTTCATAGAGCATGTGATGTACCCATAGATTAATAAAGGCTAGATCATTGGTTCCCAAAGCGGGGGGCACGCCCCCCAGAGGGGGCGCGGGCCATTTGTAAGAAACCTGCGACCGCTGAGAGAATGCATTCCAGACTGCTCGATACGACCAATAAATAATCTTGACTGGAGGGGGGGAATTTTTTGTATGGTCGAAAGGGGGCGTGTCTCAAATAAGTTTGGAAACCAATGGCCTAGATAGATAGTCCGCGCAAAAAAGTTAGGCAACTCGAGTGAACCGTTATGGCTCACTTGAAACGGCACATCCAGTACAAAATTCGTTTTTTTTTAAATGCCTTATTAAATTATTATTAAATAACAAATAATAATTTATAACGATAAAACTCTTCCACTTTCGGCAAAACCGCCTTTGTTGTATATTTTTCACAACGTAATGATTAACAGTGAATTATCTACAAGATTTTTGCATCACTTTAGACGAAGCGCTTGTATGAAGACTATCCATCTAGGCTTTATTAACTAAGGAAGTGTGCTACCGGCGTTAATACGAAAGTTGAAAAGTAATACATGCAGTAGGTTGAATTCCACATTTCAATAAAGAAATGCCTTGTCACTTTGATTGGCAAAACTCTAGTAGATACAATTTAACTTAATGTAAAGAAGAAACCCGACCAAAGTTCGATCAGCCGACGCTGGCCAATGTTCCGATAAAAAGCACTCAAATACATACCCAAATTTAACTCTGCGGCAAAACAAACCGGGTAGATCACTAGCGCTATTAATATGCACATCACTGAAACAACAGACAATGTTTTGTTAATGCATTCATTAGTAGTTTATCATCAGAAAATGAGGCCATGTCATGACCTGTCTATCGTGGAGATAAATACATAGGTATTATACAAAAGAGCTAAGAAATTTTAATGCTTGTTTATTGGACTTTGGTCATGTTATGACGAACAACAGGTGATATTCAGACGATATCTGCGCCGAATTATTCGCGCAGAATCGTAAGATATGAGAAAACGTGGGATAGATTAAAGTTATTGGGTAGACAATATAATTTAGCTTTGGACTCGATGACATCTTGAAGCCTGATATTGCGGGAAATTAAAACAAATCCACGAAAGAGCCAAATAACTAAAATACGTATATTTTACTAGCCTTTGCCGGTGGTTTCGACCGCGTAAAATTCCACCTGACACAGAAAATCTATCTACATTCTATATCTCTATTATTACCCCCGGGTCATATCCGGCCCGCCACTGCCATCAATCCGGCCCGCGACAGCTTAAGATTAAGCCTATGTTTGCATAGGTTGGCAGAAAAATTTAAATTGTTATGGCCCTTGCAACATGCCGAAAAAAATAGTATGGCCCCAAGGGTTCAAAGTTTGGAGACCCCTGGTATAAATTGTGCAATTTCGTGTCAAAATATCACTCAAAATTAGCGCAACAAATTTTTACGAAACTGATTAATCGCAATGAAAGTACACTCACGTGCAAGCGCCATGGCTAGCACTGCGAATCGGTAGTAGCGGAACTTGGTGCGGTTCTCCGTTGAGCGGAGCCCTAGGCCTGTGAGGAGCGCGCCGCAGACATCAGCCGCCAGGGTCGCCACGCACAGCCCGGCTGCCGCCCTGTAACGAGTGATAACAACGTGAGAGCGCAGTCCAAGGTAATTGACACTATTAATTACCCAATAATAGGGATATTTCCTGGGTCAAAAAGCAAGAGTTTTAATTAGTCCGTCAGTTAACTTATCAAAAAATACTCTACACGTATTTTTCACTTTTTCAAACTAATGAAAATTTAAAGAGATAAAGCGCGCCAAAGTTCATAAGAAGAGGCCCGTGACGTCAATGCTTGCATAAAAGTGCCGCACGTTGTGACGTCGTGCGGAACTTCAACGCACCATAACTACACTTGCAGTTTAGTTATTTTTAACATCAATTTTGGATCTCTTATCGCAATCACATGAGTGCACGCATGGGATTGTGCTAAAAGGCTGTGATCTTCCTAATATTTGTGAATTTTAACTTCAAGAAACGACGGTTTCACTTCGGTTCCTTGTAACTGTCATACATTGAACATACACCACTGACATTCCAGATGATAACCATGGAACCGAACATGGGTGAACCAACCTGGTGAGGGTCAGCCTCAAGCTGCACCTCAGGACTCCGAGCATCAGCTTCCTGCGGACCAGGGCTGCGATGACCAGCCTTTGGCGGGTTCGAGCTGCGCAGACCAGTTTTCAAACGTCGGCGAGGTTATGCTGCGCGCTGAAGAAGCCGTGGCTGATGGGGAGCAGGCAGCGGTCGAGGACGCCGCACGATCAGGAACGGCCGTCTTAGAAATAACACCCGCTACGTCAGCGTGACGTCATATCGTTCGATCCTGTTGTCTCTGTCTTAGAGAGGGAAGGCACGAGAAACCGGCCGCCCCGCGTGCCGCCACACTTTGCTCGGGCGCTTGGCTGTGACGGACGTTCTCTCGGTTCAGGGACTGTGATATTTGTGACCTAGATCATTATTTCTGCCATAGGCATATTTCTTTATTACGTTAATTTGATTTGTGGAATTATTGGTTTCGGTTATGTAATAAATCGATATCTGCTGGTGCCGTACATTACTTTTAAAAAAGCACTCTCACCTCTGATCCTTAAGAATATAGTATAGATCAGGGGTCTCCAAACTACGGCCCGCGGGCCATATCCGGCCGGCCACTGGCATCTATCCGGCCCGCGACAGCTTAAGACTAATAAGCGTAAGTTTGCATCGGTGGGCATAAAAATTAAAATTGTTATGGCCCTTGCAACATACCGAAAAAAATATTATGCCCCAAGTTTTCAAAGTTTGGAGACCCCTGGTATAGATTGTGAAATTTCGTGTCAAAATATCACTCAACATTAGCCGCAACAAACTCAGAAACTAATTAATCGAAATGAAAGTACACTCACGTGCAAGCGCCATGGCTAGCACTGCGAATCGGTAGTAGCGGAACTTTGTGCGGTTCTCCGTGGAGCGGAGCCCTAGGCCTGTGAGGAGCGCGCCGCAGACATCAGCCGCCAGGGTCGCCACGCACAGCCCGGCTGCCGCCCTGCAACAAGTGATAATAGCGTGAGAGCGCAGTTCAAGGCAATTGACACCGTTAACCAATAATAATAATTAGAATGCGCACAAAAATAACTTTCTTAATCCTAGCCCTGGAAAATAATAAATAAATATCCTTGGACATTTTACACTGCACTTCTCGTCCCAAAGTAAGCAAAGCTTGTACTATGGGTGCTAGACAACGGATATAAACACACTTAAATACTTTTTTTTTGTAAATACATACAATTATACATAGGAAACACCCAGTCCAATACAAACAAATATGTTCATGCACACAAATGTTTGTACTGTGCGGTAATCGAACCCGCAACATCCGGAATAGTAGTCCGTTTCGAACCACTACACCAAACGGCCGACAAATCAATGATAATTCGTTTTCAATTAACCAGAGTTATTTTGAAATAAAAAATACTCGTAGTACCCAAGTCAATTGAGTTGACGTACTCCTAATCTGTTTTTAACCGACTTCATGTCTAAAGAAATCTAAAAGGATACAGGCCAACCGCACGGTCCAACCGTCTCGAAATCATTGGTCCTGTGGCTGAAAATACGATTCACTCACAAGCTGGGTGGCGGCAGGTGGGTTACTTGAGAGCTTTTCACGCCAGAAGAGCAGGGGCTACTCACAAAAGACCGGACGGTTTTCGGCTAGTCTTATATTCGTATCTTAATCGCCAATCGCTATGGTCATTCATAAGCTTATATTCCACTTACTTAATATAAGGCGCCGGTCTAGCCGCATAGCAGCCGGGCTGTGCAGTAATGTCAAAGGGCAGCGGCGTGGGCGCCTCGGGGTCTATGCAGTGCATGAAGAGGCCCTGCCTCCAGCCGGCAGCCATCAGCCAGTCCGCCGACGCCAGGCCCAACACCATCAGGATCACGACCAGCAGGCCGCATATCAGAGCAATCACCTGGAATCAAGTGGAAGTTATAATAAGTTATTGACAGGTAAATGTCAAACCACCCTTTATTTTGCCTCAGTTGGTTTAGTTCTGGGGAATTATCCCAACTGCATCGTTAGATGCAGGCAGGTTATTTAAGTTTGAGAGAACCTCATCCGATATATCCGAGTATCTATACTATGCTGCTACCAGTTATTTATTAATTAACTACATATTTACCAGAAAAAAATACTGAGAATTGGTGGCAGGTAAATGTGGAAAGATTTCCCCTTTTCAAAGCTACGTAACGACTCTCCATCAAAATCTCGTATTTCCTTCTTGCACATTCATTATTTTGCTACTAATGCATTCCAGTTATCTTAAAAGCTTAGGAATGGCTACGCAAAACTTCACCGAAACAAATTACGGACCAGGAATGATAATAAAGAACAATATAGAACTTTATGCAAGTCTTCAAAGAAGAATTAAGGAGCGAACGAGGAAAGGGAATCAACGCGAGATGTAATTTCGTCGTGCAGTAGAAGGTACTCAACAAACGAGCGAAGGGAAAGGAATGATAATATAACTTAACTCAAAGTGTTTGAAGGGCACGAAGCACCGACGATGGAGGGCTCCCTTGATTTCAGAGAAAGAAAACGAATAGAAATAAAAAATAATTGTAAGTCTGCAAAAGCACAATTTGAATATTATTACCTATCTTTTGCTCAAATACTTTTTACTTTTTAGAATGTGAAAAAAGGTAATGCAGTAATATAATATGTCAATCATCAATTAGTATTTTTCTCATTCTATGTGATACAGAAAGATATTAATTTTACTGTAACCAAATTAAAACAATAACGTATACCTAGTATATAGGTACCTACCAAAATTCCTTATGATACTGTTTTCCATGTCGAAAATCCTTGTCAGACAACATACGCATTCCAGATCTCAGTCAACCGAACGAAAATAGAATTTGTCGCATTTTGCGACTGGATCTAATTTATTCAAGTGTCGACGATGCAGTCAAATTCAATTACGTCTGTCCTGTGAATATTGAGAGCCGGAGGGCATTGTTTTATTGAATTTTGATCCGAAATCGAGGGGTAACAACAACACAATAAGAAATACTGCTGCAGGCAAACATCTGTCGATGAAAGACGATTACGCCTAAAAACAATAAACTTGTAAAATGAAAATAAACAGCAATCATGATTCAATAATACAAACAAACAATCGCCTAGTCGTAACACAGCAATGAAGGAACTGGAATGTAAACATATAGGGATTTTCTTTTTGTTATGGTATATAAAAGTCTAAAATAAAGCTTTCCCGTAGCAAACAATGGGCAGCATGGCATACAAAGGGGATCGCGACGAAGCGCAACTCGTATGTAAAGGCTGTAATCCATCACGCGTACAAGACGCAAAGTGGGACTTGAATCAAAACATGACGCGAAGTCAGAAGCTATAGCTTTATGTATGCGTGTGTATATGAGGTAAAGAAAAGCGGGAAAATGAGACACCCAGCGGGCGTCTCGAGGTGAGGGGCGGGGGGTGCGGGCATCGATCGCGGGCCCCGCCGTCGCTCGGGCCGCGGGGACCGCCATCAGCTGTTAAGCGACCCGCCTCTCGGACACTGCGAGCCCTCGACAGCCACTCGTCAGGACCTCTCGCCGTCTCGAGCCATCGAAAGTGACACCCCGAGTACACAACTTGCGATTGCGACAGTCACGTTTGTGCCCAGTGTAAAGCGATATCGGGAATATCGGATTGTTTATCTTTCCGTATTTGCTTGAGATCACGTTCGCGTCTTCTCACACGTGTTTGAGATTATATTTCTAAAATATTTCTTTACTTATGAAATACAAATAAGTCTACCTTTGAGTTGCTTGATCTCTGACAACTTTGTTGTAGGTCCTTCACACCTTCTCATTCGCGACTTCAAAGAGATGAAATTCATGAAATATTCCATTCCATAGAATCAACATTAAATAATCTCTAAAATATTCTCATACACATTAGTTCTATTGACAATCATTGAAAAGTAGTCGCATAAAAGGGGCTATGCATAATCAATTGTCCGCGGGCGGAAGCGTCTGTCATCAAGAGGGATTCCATTCATTGAATGTAAAACGGGCTCACGTGCGGCCAGTCCGCGTCACCCAACTAGGGCAAATCGAGCCCTTGATTTTATTAAACACTATCAAAACAATATGTGACTCATTAAACATATTTGATCAAATAAGAAAAGGGGTTAAAATTTTGTAAGATTAGTCAGTTGTTAAATTGATCGATCCTACTATTAAAACGTTCCCTTTTATACGGATTTATCTAAATAGAACTCTAAGAAGCAACGAAAAGATTGCTATTCCGGAGACAAAGCATAAGGTAACAAAAGTAACAATAAATCCAATAAAGTCTGGATGAATAACAGCATAAAAAGGTTTCAAAGTAGGGTATATAAAGTAAAATAGGAGAACGCGGATCCAATTTCCGTTTCATACAATGCTGACAATCTGGTTTAGTTGCTCTAAATACTGGCGCACGCTTCGTTCGCTACGAGCATTCATTTTCAAAGAGGATTTTATCGTACCTTCGTTCATTATGTGCATGTCGATTGAACATAAAATGGTAAAATGCTGTGTACTCAATTATTTGAATCAATCTGGAACTGGAACATAAAACTTTTAATATAAGAGTTTTCGGTATACCTACTTTCTTGGCTTCGCTCTCACTTGCGTCTATCTACAATGTTCTGACTGCATAGGTATAGGTAAGTATTCTGTGTGGAATACGCCAGGAGCTCTTGAAATTGTTCTACGTGGAATAAGTCATCACTTCGATTCATGTCTGATGATGGTCGAAATACGTAACCAATATCAAAATTTTCACATCACATACATTTTATTGCAGTCTCCTTTAGAAGAATGAACATTATTATTTATTTGTCATTATCATAATACAACGTAGGTGTTTAGGGTTTGAATGGACCTCCAGTATCGCAACTACTGACCCGTCTGATGTGCTTGGGCAGGAATAAATTAATACTGGGGCCCGATTCCCACGCTCACTTTTATCCAAACCTAAACCTAATTAAGTCAGCGACATAGAATTATCAAAATCGATTGGCCATTCGAAACAGATGCGATTCCGGATTGAAACTTTCGTCGAACATTATTATGTTGATTTTAATTCCTCATTCATTTTCTTCTTACTCAATTACTAATTAATTAAAAAAAAAAAAAATTACAATCCGGCTTAAAATGTTACAGCAAATTAGACAGATAAAACTTCCTTCATTAAATGCTCTACCAAGGTAGTAGGTAGGTACAGATAGGAACTAAGATGCAAAAATATACACCGACTAGTCGTTAACAATCCCATTTCGTCACTCCCAGACAAACGGAAGTTAAAAATGAATTTCTGACATGCAATGACCGCATACGGTCCAGCCCCGACTTCCCTCACGTCTGCGGGAACCATTTATGGTCAAAGTGCTTTGTAATGGTTCAATTGTTTCGAGTCCTACCAAGTTGGAGGGGATCTCCTCTTGGATCACGCGAGTTAGGCAATGCCTTATAATGATTTTTTATTTTGCTAGAGAAACTTACATCATAGTGACTCAGAAACGTAGTGAAACTGAAAACATGATAACATTACCCACGCCACGTGGCCTAAATTTTACCACTATTTATTTAAACAAAATTGAAACAACAAGGTGTTTACCCTTATAGGTACGCGACGATTTCATGAATATTAATTTTGTTTTTTTGTCACAAGGGTAATTACAAGCCGAAGGCCAACAAGAAGCAATTATCTTTTAACAAAACCAATAAATAAACTTTCCATAAGTCCCTGATCTTCAAAATGATTCAGATACTGGTTTTGTGCGAGGCCATACACTCAAAATACAAATTTATGAACCACTTTTAGGAATATACTTCTATCATTGCATAAAACCAGTGCCTAAATTAATAGAATATCCCTATTCTGACCCAAGTTTATGCTCTACATTACACGATGTTCCAGAATTCATAGTCACGTCTAGGCCGTTCTTAGCCGATTTTCTAGAGCCTGAGTCCAATCTCGTATCAGAAATGAAGAGATTCGTAAACGAACTAATGTCACTGCCATAAATAACCCAACGGATTAGCAAGCTGAAGTGGCAATAGGCAGGGCACATAGTACGCAGAACTGATGGCCGATGGGGCAGCAAGGTTCTGGACTGGAGGAAACGTACCGGAAAACGGTAACAGGAAGGCGCTGAATGCAGACCGCTATCAATCAACCGGGTGATGTGGAGGAAACCATTGGGGGAGGCCTATGTTCACCAGTGGACGTCCTGTGGCTGAAATGATGATGATAAGTCCAATCACCTGTGCGATCTGGTTGGCAGGCATCTCGTCTTGCTCTGTGGCGAACTGCGGTGGCGGTGGGAGCACGGGGGGCGGGAGGGCGCGCGGGTGAGAGCGTTGCCCGCCCGGGCCGGCGCCCGCGCGCCCCTGCATGCGACTACCGTCCCGCCAGACCCGCCACGACACCCGCACACGTTAACACTCGAAGAATTCAAACCAACGACTCGGTATTAACTCGATGCGCACACACAATTCGCGAGGGCTCTAGTGTTTTGGGGTTAATCCGGGGTTCAATTCACGTTTGCCTTAGACCTGTAATAAACGGTTGGGGATGAGGATTTCAAGGTTAATTCGTGTAACAGCGTCAGGACTGTGCTATAATGAATGATGTGAGAAATTTTGTTTTCCTATCCCAATAAGGCTTATTTATTTTTCTTAGTATCACAGTATTTTCTTTTTTATTCATTAATTTGTTATGCTATTGATTAATTATAATATAATAACGTCTGATACCATTTTGTGATAACTAACAACAACACATTTTCATGTTTAAAGGATTACACTCTCCTCTACCCTTTACAAAATAAAAACCCAATTTTTCGTATATTAACGCTGAGCCTGACAACAGAGGTTCAGTGAATGGCATAATTCGTCAACGTCAATTTAGCCCTGCTGTTCCAGAGAAAAACGGGCTTGAACCCGGAACTGATTGAATGAAAGGTGATTGATAATATCAAATGTCAGAAAGGGCCGGGACCGCAAAGGAGCCCACAAATTCGGAAAACTGGGAAACTAATTGACTTAACAAAAATCCTGGCCTTAATGGTTAGCGAATAGATCAAATCAATGTCACTGCTATCTGTTAACTATCATCCATCAAATATATGAGGAAGATTAGTGACGTTGGTTACCCCTTCCGCGTGACTTTCGTCGAATTTGGGTCAGAGCAGTATAACTCGTGCGTTGTAGGGGAGAACTTACTGCCGAATGAGGTCGCATGTTGGCGTCATAGCGCCGGACAAAAATTAGGTGTGCTCTCTACATCATAATAGTGAGGCAAATAATAAAAATGCTTCAGTTGTCGTGACAACATCCAAGAATAGCTTTAAAAATACGAGGTCGACCAACTAAACTAAACCAAATGTTGCATTGATTCTGCTAATAAATAAACGCCTTACTTTCGGGTAGGTGTTGGACTCTTTCGATTCGTAGAATTCGAATAAGGGTCACGCAAAGTAGAGACAAAATGCACTTTGTGAGGTTGTTCCCAGTTTAGGTCCAGTCTTGAAACAGTAGGTTCAGTCAGACGAAACTAAACATTTCCGTTAATTTCGTGTAAATGTACCTAAATATAACGGGAGATAACGGGATTATTTCGAGCTACCTATCCCGGGTCATTGGAAGAAAATACACGGAATCGTGCTATTAATAGATCAATTAGATTACAGAGCTGAACATCCTAGTAAACATACATTCTCCTTTGTTGAAAGTTAAGGCTTAACAGAAACAAACTTTCATTTTCTATTTCTTTGTTGAGTTAGATTTAAATAGAAACACAAACATTACATAGACGGCCGGCTGCATTCACATTTTCCATGAACATGTGAATGAAAGCTCGCATGCATGCAAGCCTTGTTTCGATACAGATCAAATATACACAATCTTTATGAGGAGAAATCTGGTCTGAACTGTGTAAACTTTATTGATATTAAAAGTGAAATTACTTTACGAGTGAGAATGCAAACTTGCATAATTCGGTGATTGTGAGAAAAGTAAATTGTTTCTTGAATCAGAAATGTTTTCTTGAAAACATTCAAATTCAGGAATATACGAGGGGTGTTCAGAAAGTGAGAATGGGATATTTCTAGCCATCACAAAAATCTGAAAAAAATTGGGCAGGTAGCTTAATTCTTCACTAGAAACTGCTAAAAAATTCATTTAAGTTCACCATTGTGTTTATAAATTACATTCACTTGACCACGACCAGTCGGATGATTTTCTTGACTCTCCAAAAAGGGCTGAAAAAGATATTGCCTCGACAATTCCTCAAATATCAGGTCCCTGAACTACTTTTTAAATCGGGAAAAGAGCTATTAACGTAGCTATAGAATATGATGGGTTTTTGAGCATTTTGGAACGCAATTTTTTTTTTGTTTCCACCGCTACGTTCAGGGCTGTGAACGGGTGCGTTGGCCACAGAAAACAAGGTCTTTCCGACTGGTCGCGTTCAGTTGAATGTAATTCTTAAACGCAATGGTGAACTTAAATGAATTTTTACCAGTTTCTAGTGAAGAATTAAACTACCTGCTCATGTTTTTTTTTTTTTCGAATTTTGTGATGACTAGAAATATCCCATTCTCATACCTTTTTGAACACCCCTCGTACAATTCCATACTTAATTTTATTTATTTTTTTCAAAATGTTGTACAGCAGACTTATTTTTGGAGGTATTCTCCCCTGTCGTTAACAAAAAAATGTACCTAACTAGGTATGTGCATTCTTATGCAATCTCACTATTCAATTTCTATCTACATAGTACGATGCGTTAAAACAATAACAAACTTAGGCCACAAACGCGTTGCCTGAGGTAATAAACGACCATAAGCATCTGAAATCCATACGAGGCATCTAAAATTTTGACTAGGGTCTGTTATGTTTAAAAACTAGTGTATTGTTGTGAGCGAACTAATGTGTTGTGGAAAACCATGCTGCGCTTCGCAGGTATAAAAATGAGACCAAGTTTTCTTGAATGTTAAAAATAAGCAAGTTTGAGAAGATTAACTTTGGTATATTCTGTACTACTGCTGTTATAATAAAACAGTATGGTGGGTACTAAACCTTAAATTCAACCACTTGATTGCATTAGTACATAAGTGCAGATATCAGAATATCCAATAAGCCCTTTTACAGTACCTACGGTGCGTTAAGTACACAGTTATTACTTACTAGCTTTCCGCCCGCGGCTTCGCCCGCGTGGAATTTTGTCTGTCACAGAAAAACTTTATCGCGCGCGTCCCTGTTTCAAAAACCGGGATAAAAACTATCCTATGTTCTTTCCCGGGACTTAAACTATCTCTATGCCAAATTTCATCAAAATCGGTAGCGAGGTTTAAGCGGGAAAGCGTAACAGACAGACAGACAGACAGACAGACAGACAGACAGACAGACAGACAGACAGAGTTACTTTCGCATTTATAATATTGGCTTTTATCGTAGTTGGGATACTGCTATTTTAAGTAATTACTTTTTACAATTTTAAATCTGTGAGGGTTGAACCTAGCTATACGTTGGATTGGACTTTTTATATCAAAACCCACATATTTAACCCATGATGATTTAAAAACAGAGATGACTAAAATTCTTTCGCATTCACACATCATTTTATTTTTAAGAAACAACATGTCTATGGCGAAATATATCATGTAAAAAACTTAAAGTCAATCGACCATTTATAATACCTAATAATTAACTGTTTGAAGTTTGCTATTCATGAATATTATTAACCACCGTTTAGTTCAAAAAACAAAAAGTAGGCATCTTCGTTTCACTAATTTCGGAATTTAGGACACAATCACAAATTGGGACGTGCAAATAATAAAACAAAATATTTTCGCCCCAATTTTTTTGGTCTCATTTGCGCGAATTGCGCATTGGGTCGCGCCGGTTTTGTGCTTCTACACAAAAATCACCTTTACCGAGTTTTCAACACAAAGGAACGTTGCGTCCAGATAATGATAGCACAGGCGAGACTGTTGCAGTGGTAGAACCAATATAGCAGATAGAGTTTGGGGATGAAAGGCAAAAGGATGGTTGGGTATGGAAAATAAATGAGTGCGTGCGGATTGCGCTCGTAGGGCGGGTTTCGGAATAAAGGTGGGCGGACCGGGCGACTCGGCGCCTAACGCGGGACTGCCGCCGCCCGCCCTGGACGCCCCCGACCCCTCGCAACGACACCCGACTTCCCGCCCGCCCGCGCCCATCAAAACACAGATTACAGAAACACATTTATTAGCCGAAACACTACTTAAACTTCGATCACACTAATGAAAAAATCACAAAAATGTTAGCACTTATATCTTTAGTACAATGATATTTTCACAGATAGATTAGGGCTAGCAATATTCTTACTTAGGGCGTTAAAGTCCTCTAGTCTTGTGGGTCGTCACACCTGAGTGATTTGCAGCCGAGGCGGCTGCGACTGCCGCCGGGACGGCCGTCGCGGGCGCCGCTTGCACCAGCTGCCCATGCCGCGGAGACGCCGAGCGCAAGCTTCCTTCGAAGGCAACTTCCACCATCGTCTGGGTTCTCTAGCTCCGAAAGTCGTCGTCATCCTATCGCCTGGTTTCGGCATATCATACACAATCTTTGGGCTCTCCACCGTCTCCGTACCGGGAGCGATACGATACTTTGCCCCTGATATAGCTTTCTTCAGTCCGTTGAATGCTTTCTTAGCTGCATTCTCATCTTCTTTCACGTCGAGCACCGTTTCTCTTGGAATGGCTTTGAGTCGACCGGGAGGCGGATGGCCAATGGGTACTTCTTCCTGCTTTTTAAACAGACTGTTCAGTCTGGAGAGTATAGTAGAAGGTGGATCTGTGTTCGTTCCAACTGTGCATACTCGGGGTCTGGGATGATCTTGGTCAACTGGTGTGGTAATGGGTGCGTAAGGTTGAAGCGGCAACGTAGCAGATCTCCTGGGCGGCAGTTCATCTTGCATGTAGGCTACGTGGAGGGTGCTGATGCTCAGCGGCTGCTGCGGCGGCGGCCAGAGGTCCCTGGTGGGCGGCACCGGCGACGGGCGCTCGCCCAGCATCCGACGGGCGAACTCCCCTGGCTGCCAGAGGTAGCTCGCCGTCAAGTTCCCGTGCGTTTGCATCACGATACGAATCTTCACTGACAGTGACAACACGCAAACTGGCTACGCTAATCTAATACTAGGCTTCGCGCACTTGTCGGTTTTCACGTAATGCGTTGAGTAAAGGCTTTTAAATTAGATCAAGAATGGGAGACATGTAATAAACCATGCATGCAAGTAATTTAATCCTTTTTGTTCTTTCGTCTTATGTAGGCCAGTCTTTCAGTTGCATATAGGTATTATATTACGTTTGCGTTACATACGATACCGTCATTATCAACATCTATGACTGAGGAAATAAACTCTACCCCAAAGTGCATCATGGTAAAATTTGGTGAGTGTGATTATAAACGCGTAAGGCGAAACCATAAGGGTCGCAGTACACGGGCCACCGGCCACAACACAACCGCTAAATGCCATACCGGCATATTTACGTACATACATTTTAATTTTTCGTGTGACGGCCACCGGCGTCAAAGGAGCCCGAAAAAGTTTAGGCCAAGGCCACATTGGAAAGAATTTTATTTGTGGCCACCCTTAGTGACATAACTCTATGTTGACTAGATGCTAACATTATGTACTCATGGCAACTCTAATTTAAACGATTACTTGATCAGTGATCTCCTATCATCGCGATTCTGTGCTTATTTACCTTAATGAAAGCATCCATTCATACATGATCATACATCTCTCTTTAACTGTAGGTAGATGTAATCTTTATAGAAAGGGTGTCAATTTGGTTATCCATAAATAGTTATTATCTAAATATTTTTCAAATAACTTGAAAGGCCACTATAGGCCTTATACAGAAGCTCAAAGTTGCACAGCGTGCTATGGAGAGGGCTATGCTTGGTGTTTCTTTGCGAGATCGAATCAGAAATGAGGAAATCCGTAAACGAACTAAAGTCGCTGACATAGCCCGACGGATTAGCAAGCTGAAGTGGCAATGGGCAGGGCACGTAGTGCGCAGAACTGACGGCCGATGGGGCAGCAAGGTTCTGGAATGGAGGCCGCGTACCGGAAGGCGCAGCGTGTGACGTCCACCTACAAGGTGGACCGACGACATCGTGAAGGTAGCAGGGAAGCGCTGGATGCAGGCCGCTACCAATCGATCAATGTGGAAAGCATTAGGGGAGGCCTATGTTCAGCAGTGGACATCCTATGGCTGACATGATGATGATGATGAACTTGAAAAGCTGACCATCATAACAGGCAGTTCCATATTTTCAAGTTATTTTAATTCACCAACATACTAAGATATTTCATATCAATAATAATTGTAGAATGTATGATAAACTACATAGTGTATTGTTCAATAGTTCATTTAAGTCAAGTAGAAAAACTCTAATCTCTCAAAACTTTATTCATCTTTTTCGATTATTCTGATATTAAGAGGTGGAATTGTGTAAAGCAATAGCTGTTATCATTTGACAGTTCATAACGTATGATTATTCTGTCAAATGCTTTGTTTAACAGATTTTATTATATGTTATGAACTGTCAAATGATTACGATTGCTTTACACAATTCCACCTCTGATTAATATTAATATTTTTTTATGTAGGTTACTTTTTAGAATTTCCTTGTTCACAAACTTTCATGTTTTATAATATTAAATGAAAGTAGGTATTGACTTTAACAACTTAGCTGATTAGCAGAATTTATGTAAAATAACTTACCTTCAACGGTCGAACAATGCTGATTGTTTCTATCATTGTAGTTGATGCCATTGTTGGTTTCCTAAAATATTAAATACATATTAATATTGCTATAGTGCCAAAAATAGTATCAAACAGCAATGTATTATCTTTATTGTACAACTACAGCCGACAGTATATCAAGCTAAAAATTGTGACATTTTATGTAAATATTNATAATCTGATGTCTTATTGAAACAAAGAGGAGAAAATTGTTAATTTAGTTACATAATTTATTAATCACTTTTACCATCAAAGAATAAAGTTTAGAATGAAACATACAAAATGTAGAAAATGCATGGGAGTAGGTATTTTATGTTTGCTTAATGCTCCTTCCTTGTACACAAGGTTGTTACAAATACATGCAAAAAATTATATTTCATTCAATTCACCTCATTGTATTGATCAAGGTGAGGTGACTTATCAATATCCATGGGTAAACAAAAATTTCATTATCCAGACAGAAACGCGTGTTCTTACTATAGGATAAGTAAAATTACGTTAGTCACTACAATCGAATGGAAATTATTAATTAATTATCCAAGTAAATACATCTCGTCTCGTCATGACCGAGTTTCAATGATTCACGCGTCCTTTACACAATTTGTAAATAAATGCAGAATCTATGACAAGTTTAAATCGACTAAAACGAAAGAGACAAAATTGTAAGACTTTGTTTGATTGAAATGCAAATAAATAATATTTAAACAAATAAAAACATGATATATTTTATAGTATATATTTTATAGTATATATTTTTGTAATACTTACGAACACTACTCGTGAGGTTCTAAAGCAAAGAACAAACAAAGGAAAGTAGTCCGTATTAAAGTCAAAATAACAACATGAGTTTAATTTTGTAGTCTTCGCATCTTATCGATGTGAGTATTACAATTCATTTAACATATTAAAATGCCTGATAAACGTTCACTTGAGAAAATAAACATCTCGCACTCTCACAAAATCACAATCCCAGAAATGAATGAATGAATGAAAATTGAAATGAATGACAGCTTGCTTGATTTTTTTGACACAGACCGAGTGAATGATTTCTGCACAGATATGGATCACAGATATGGATTAGAGTAGATACAGCAAGTTGCTCGTCAAAGCGTGCCATTCCGATATGTCCAAATGGACATACATGGTCGAGTGATGTTCTCGTTGTTAATTGTAATCCGATTACAACAATCGGTTACGATGATTTTACGAGGACAGTAGTACGAACACGGTAGAAAGAAGAAATTATAAACGGATTGAGAATTGTAATTAACAGCACAAGTAACAAATAATTAAATTAGCAGTAGAAGAAGTATAAAGTAGCATTGTTTTCTAATACAGGAAATAAAAAATATCGGAATTAGTTATCAGAGAAATAATGATAAAATCACAAAATTTTAACACCAATCCTTCACTAACCAAATGTCACATTATCAATAAGGTTTTGCATTATTTTATTAATAGCAATATTTTTAATTCCTTTAAAAAAAACATCAGTTTGATCAACCGCCCACAGAAAATCATTTAGAAATATCTTCAAAACTAGGTACCTGACTTAGCTTTATGAAACTAAACGTATTGGCAAAACTACGCATTTTTACATTTATTAAAAATAAAAAGCTTGAGTTAGTCTATATTTAATGAAACTAGGTCAGGTACTAGGATATTTAAAAGTATGAAATTAAGTATGAATTACTAGTAGTACTNAGAAAGTGACAAATTTTAAAAAAATAGGTAGTTGAAACAAACCACAGCTAATTTTCATAGTGGGCTGTACTATACGATAAACATGTCAGTCAATTTGACAACCTTTGTCGGAAACATTATTCAATGAAAATATTGTCCAAACCCTTAGTATTTCTCTTCGACAAATACTTTAACACATTGTGAACCACTTTTCTTTCACGACTATAAAAATATTTAAGCAATTTAATTCATAAAACCAATTGCGCACATTTAAAATAAACTTTGTTTACACTTTGACAGCAATAGACTGACATGCAAGGTGACATATCAATGAAGTTTTCAGTTACTGTTGCCATTAAAAGAAATTAGTACCATTAGTTTTCCGCAACATGGCGAGGGTTTTTATGTTCCTGCCCCCCTAGACAAAACGCACTTTTTGATCGAATCGAAAATCGAATCCGTCAAAACTCCATACAAAAAAGGGGCTTCTCGACCACTTTTCGACTGGTTTGCGATTATAATTTGCACTTTGTCTAGACCCACTGGTCAGGCTATAACCTGACTTAGCTTTATGAAACTAAACGTATTGGCAAAACTACGCATTTTTACATTTATTAAAAATAAAAAGTTTGAGTTAGTCCTTATTTTATGAAACTAGGTCAGGTACTAGGATATTTTTAAAAGTATGAAATTAAGTATGAAATTACTAGTACTATTTAACATAATGGAATAACGATCACTACTTTGATATACGCACAATAAAAATATGATTTGCAAATTAATAAGAAAATTTATAATATAGAATTTATTTTAATCCACAGTTAGACTAGCTATAAATAACAAAATATCAGTTTTATCGGAATTAATTAATTGTCGAATCGAGTCACACGATATATTTCGATGACTTTGCGACTGCAGTACGATGATACGATTATTTTTACATTGCGGCAATCACTAAAATGACACTAATGACGTTTAAAAAGTGGCACGCTCGGCTTCATATAGTTCCAAAATACTGGACTGTCCTGTCGATGACATTGACAGTGGGGCGCCACCGTCAATACCGGATCGCTGGTTCAGATTTTTGCCATGTTGGAAACCATATAGTTGAACGATGGTAGCGCCCCCCTGTCATTGAGTTTGGTGGGACAGTTCAGCGTGGGTCATCTGTACAATTTTTGACACATGCTGCATCTATCCATATCTGTGGATTAGAGGATTTCTGCATCCCATTCACGAATGTAAAGGCAAAGCCATACATCTATTCGAGCATGAAAACGTAATAGTATCTCTGCATGATCTTCTCTTACAAAGATTTTAACTCTATCTTGGCCAAGGAACTTATAAGTTCCTTGATCTTGGCATAAAGTGTACATATTCATATAACATAAATGCCTTACAAAATCTGAGTAATAACACGCACGCTATTAAAATCAGTCAAGGGACTATGGTACCTATAGCACGGTAATACTATCTATACAGTATTCCAACTCGGCCATATTTTTGAAATAAATGTCAACAGTCGCGTGGAACGTCACCGTATGACAACATGCGATAGGGCTGCCCACTTGCAGACCCTATTTTCATTACATCTGCCTACTTTGAATTTTTACGTATTGTGAATGTATTTTGTGATTGTAATTTTCATTTTATTTTGACAAACAAAATACCTTGTGAATGAAATAGGATAAAAATGCATGTTGTTTTGTGATTAGTAAAATATATTTGTGTTAAGATTTAGTAAAATAAAAAATCTTACGACCGTAAAATGTACGTATGCGTCTCAACTTAGATTTTATTATACAGGGTGTTAGGTAAATGGGTTTATAAGCCGACACAAGCCCATGGTATATAAATGGTATGGTGAAGTCAGAAACTTGATATCATCTTTTTAATAATTTAAATTTTCATACTAATCCGATTTCATAAATTTTATTTTGTATGAAAATTAAAAAAAATAAAACGATGATATCACCGACTTCACCATACCATTTATATGCATAGGTTAACATTAACATGCTCAAGTGTCGGTTTATAAACCCATTTACCTAACACCCTGATAAATAGGTAGGTACTTGTAATTATTTTTATAAAAAAAAGAGCGCTTACTGTTTCAAAAACAACACATCGTCCGTTTATTACTGTGGCATACTCGCGACACCCCCGACTTTTGTATGTCGAGCGCATACCGAGATTTGAATTTCGAAGGAAAGCTCGCGTTTCATCCGTTTATATGAAGTTACAATACTGTATGATATTATTACCGTGCCTATAGCTTTTAGTGTTTATTCTTTACTTATGATGCAATGGTATGATTCGATACAAGATACAATGTCCTAATGGTATAAATATT